AAATCCCCCCAAATCGTCGCTTCCCACCCCCAAATCGTCGCTGCCCCTCCCAAAATAGGGGGAAAAAGGGCACGATCCCCCCAAATTATCCCCCGAAACAAGGAGCAAGGGGGATGCCTCACGCCATGGGGTCGCCCACCGGGGTTTTCCCCCCAAAAAATAATCCCCCCCCCACCCCCAGCCTGCCCCTCCCTGCCCAGTGCCAACTTTTTGGGGGAAAACCCTCCGAAAACGGTTAAAAAAATTAAAAAGCGGGATGAGGGTGGTGAGGGGTGTGGGGGAGGGGCGGTCACCCCGAATACTCCGAGCTCGGGGGGGGCAGCCCCGGGGGGAGGGGTCCCTGGGGGGGGGGGGGTCCCTGGGGGGGGGGTCCCGCGCCCGGTGCCGGTGCCGCTCACCCGCCGCCGCCGCCGCGCCATGTGACTGCCCGCCTATTGGGCGGGGCCGCCACGCCCCCGCCGCCGATTGGGCGGCGCCGCCACGCCCCCGCCGCCGATTGGGCGGCCGCGCTGCTCGTCCCCGCCGGCGAAAGGCATGCTGGGGGTTGTAGTCCTGCAGCCAGTGTGTGCGCGGGGGGCACGCGGGGAACACGCGTGTGCAAGGGGGCGCGGGGGGGGGGGTTGTGCACGTGTGTGTGTGCGTGGCGGGGGTGGGTGTGCGTGGGTGCGCAGCTTCGTGAGTGTGCACGTGTGTGCAGGTGTGTTTAGTGTGTGTGAGTGTGCACGTGTGTGTGCACGTGTGTGTGTGTGTGTGCACGTGTGCTTGTGTGTGTGTGTGTGTGTGTGTGTGTGCAGGTGGCTCGTCCAGCGGGGTGGGTGGTGTGGGTGCAGCTGGGTGCGTGCCCAGGGGCTGTACACACGAGTGAGTGAGCAAGTTCATGTGTGCAGATATGATGCGTGTGTAAGGGTAGGGGGGTGCGTGGAAGTGTAGGGGGGTGTGTAAGTGTAGGGGGGGGTGTGAGTACAGGCGTGTCCATGTGCGTGTAGGCGTGTGGACATGAGCACAGGCATGTGCAAATGGGTATGGGCATGTGCATGTGCTCAGAGGTGTGTGTGTGTGCATAGAGGTGTGTGTGTGAATATAGGGGTGTGCTTGTGAATATAGATCTGTGCGTGTGAATATAGGTGTGTGCGTGTGAGTATAGGCACATGTGTGTGAGTCCAGGTGTGTGCATGTGCGTACATCACATACGTGTGTGTGTGTGTGTGTGAGCAGAGGCGCGTGCACGCGGGTGCAGGTGAGCGCGCACCCGTGCGTGCCAGTGCTCACGCGTGGGTGCCGCGGGGCACACGCTGTGCCCGTGGGGTGCGCGCCGCCGGACGCGTGCACGCGCAGCAACACGCGTGAACGTGCGCGTGCACAGCCCCGGGCCCCGGCTGTGATTTCCCGGCTCACGCCCGGTTCCCGGCACTGCGAGCGCGGCGGGGCTGACGCGATTTCCTCCCTTTCTGCGAAAAAAGCAGGAAACCGGCGCGCGGCTGCCCCGAGCGCAGGGGGGTTGGGGGCTTTTGGGGCAAAAAGCGGCCGTTTTGGGGGCGAGCGAGAAAAGCGGCGTGAGAAAGCTGCGCTGCGCCAAAGCAGGAAAGTTTGAGCCCAAACAAACTCCGGCGCCCCCCCCGGCACCGCGCTCCCCGGCTGAAGGCCCCGAGGGATGCTCCCGGGACCCCCCCGCGCTCCCCCAAATTCCCGGTGCCCGGCGGCTGCCGGGGGCGTCACGGCCGGGAATAGCGCGGGCGCGGTGCCAGGCGGCTGAGTAACGCCTGAAGTCACCGCGGGCCCGCCCCCACCCCGCGCCCACCGCCCCCACCCCGCGCCCACCGCCCGCCGCCACCCCGACCCCAGCCCCTCGCCAAAACAAGGGGGGCAGCCCCAAAAAACGGGAGGAGAATGGGGGGGGGCTCGGTGCCGTTGGGTTCGCTGCGGGCTCATCGCAGAGCCCCCGAGCCCGGAGCCCACTCGTGTTTTGCCCCACGCGGCGCGGCCGTGGGGCGGGGGCCGCGCGGTGCCCCCCGCCCGGTGCCCCCCCGGCACTCACCGGCTCAGGACGCGAGGGGCGAGCGGCTCATGGGCGGCCGGAGGAAGAGCTGTGTGGGGCTGCTGGTGGGACTGGGACGGGGATGAAGGGCTGAGGATGACTCATCCCCACTCAGGGAAGTGGCGTGTGTGGCTCTGCGTGTGCGATTGACTCTTTCCTTACCGGAACGGACGGGCTTTTTGGGGCTCTCGCCAACCGGCAGCCGGCACCTCGCTGTATGACTGTGCCGGACTTTCCTGTTCCAGCCCCCCCACCACCACCCCCACCACCCCAGCTCCGGTCCCGGTGATGCTGCCGGGGCATTGGGGACATCACCGGGGCCGGGTCCCCGCGCCCTGGGTGCCGGTGGCTTCGTGCCCCCAGCTCGGTGCGTCGGGGGTCGGCACCGCTGCGTTGTCCCTGCCCGGTGTCCCTCTGGAAATGGGCACCGAGACACCGCTGCGTGTCCCCCACCCCCCCACCCCCCCGGCACCCCCGGGGCTGGGACCGTCCGGTAAAGAGGGAGCGAGCCCCCGGTACCGCCCCGGGGCTGGGCGCTGCTTTCCAGGGACGGCGGCTCCGTGGCACCGGGAGGGACCGTCCCTGCTCCCTGCTCCCCGGTCCCTGGTCCCTGGTCCCCAGCCCGGGTGTCGCGGTCCCGCCACCCACAAACAGGGGCTCTGGGGGCTGGGGGGCTGCTGGAGCACCCATGGGTGCTCAACCCCTCGGCATCCCGGCCGAGAATCCCCCCCCGGCGGGTTGTGAAAGAGCCCCGAAAAAAAAAAAAAAAATTCCCCCGGTGACTCATTTGGGGCTAAACAGCCAGAAAAAGCAGAACCGGGGGGGGGTCGAGGGGGACGGGGACGTTTCGCTCCTGTCCCCCCCCCACACACACCTTGGGCTAGGAAAGGGGCAAAGGAGCCCCCGGGCAGGGGACAGACGGGAGGGGGCTGAGAGCCCCCCCCCAAAAAGCCGGCGGGGAGGGGAGAGAGGGAGAAGCGGGCTGAGCCCGATAGGGGGGAGGGGGCAGTGGAGGGACCCGGGGGGGGCTTTTGGGTGCGATATTAACCCTTTCGTTCCAGGAACGCTCTCGCTTGGGCTTGACTCAGCAGCAGTCAGAGCGAAAGCCATCCCTCGTCCCCCCCCCTGCTCGCGAGGGGCCTCCCGTGAGATTTACCAAAAGGGGGAGAAATATGGGGGGGGGGGGGGCAGCAAGTGCGGCCCCCGCCCTGGTTCCCCCCACCCCGCAGCCCCCAGCCCGTGCCATTGGAATAAAAGGAGTTGTTATGTTTATTCCCAGGGTGAACGCTCATTGCTGGGATGGGGAATTTAAAGCCCCCCCCCCCGCCGTGTCGCAGCCGGAGCACCTCGACCACCCCCGGGACTCTGCCCCCCCCCGGGACCCCCGGTGCTGAGCCCCGCTGGGACCCGGCGATGCCGGGGCAGATCCGGGCGGCATCGCCCCGACCGCGGCAGGAAGTTGGGGCAGCAAAATTACCCCGATAACAGCGCAAAAGAGCTAAAAAAACCCCAAACCTCTGCTTCCTATTCCCCGCTCCGGTTTCTATTCTTGTGGGGGACGGGGGGTATCGGGAGGAGGTGGGGGCCCCGCATCGCTTTGCCCGCCCCGTGCCTCAGTTTCCCCTTGTGCGAAGCCTCCTGAGGCTCGCGATGGGTTTGGGAGCCACCCAGGTGCCGCTAGGGGCCGGTGTCAGGCTGGGAAACGGCGAATTTAAGGCTGAGCCCCCCCGGTGGGGGCCAGTCCGCGAGGGAAAATCTCCCCCCAGTGGGTTTGGGTTTTTACCACCACGCTCGGGGGGAAGCAGCGAGCGGCTGGGGAGGGGTCGAGGCAGCGCTGGGGTCGTCGGCGTGCGGAGAGGTGGCGGGGGGCAGCCCTGGGCAGAGCACCCCGGGGTCCTGCCGTGGGCTGCTGGGGGTAAACGGGAGGGAAATAAGGGGAAAAGGGGGAGGGAAGAAGGGAAAAGGGAGAAAAAGAAAAAAAAAAAAAAGGGGGGGGGGGAGGAAATAAGGGAAAAGAGGTGAAAAGGGGAAAAGGGGAAAAGGGAAAAGGGGGGGGGAGGGAGAAAAGGAAGGGGGAGGGAGAAAAGGAAAGAAGTGGAAAAGGGAAAAAATAGGAACAGAAAAAAAAGGAAAGAGAAAAAAAAAGGAAAAAAATTAAAAGGGAAAAGAAAAGAAAAAAAGAAAAGAAAAGAAAAAGAAAGAAAAGAAAAGAAAAGAAAAGAAAAAAAGAAAAGAAGAAAAGAAAAGAAAAGAAAAGAAAAGAAAAGAAAAGAAAAGAAAGGAAAAGAAAGAAAAGAAAAAAGAAAGAGAAGAGAAGAAAAAGAAAAAGAAAGAAAGAAGAAAGAAAAAAGAAAGAAAGAAAGAAAGAAAAAAGAAAGAAAGAAGAAAGAAAGAAAGAAAGAAAAAGAAAAAGAAAGAAAAGAAAGAGAAAGAAAGAAAGAAAGAAAGAAGAGAGAAAAGGAAAAGGGGACAAAGAAAAAGGGGAAAAGGAAAAAGGGGGAAAGGCAAAGGGAAGAAAGGGAAAAAGGGAAAGAGGAAGAAAGGAAAAAGGGAAAAAGAAAAAAGAGAAAAATAAAAAAAAAAAAAAAAAAAAGGAAAGAAGAGAAAAAAGGGAAGTGAAAGGAAGGAAAAAAGGAAAAGGAAAATCAGAGGTGCAAAGTGAAAGCCTGGCTGCTGGCTTTTCCTCCGGGAAGGAAAAGCTTTTGTCTGCGGGTGCAAGCAGGTTGGGGGCGGGTGAGGGGGATGTGCCCACAGCCCCTGGGGTGTAAGTGGCCACCAGCGGGTTTGTTGTGGCCCTGGGACCCCCCGAGCTGCCCCCCACCCCCCCCCCATGGTCACCTCCCCAGGGCCAAAGCCACCGGGCGCATGGTCACGGAGCTGCCCGGTACACATGGGGAGCACAACTCGATGAGATCTGTCGTAATTAATGATGCCGTGATTAATGATGGCAATGAATTGATTACACCCTGCGGCAGCCCAATTAGCGCCGTGGAGCCCAAGGAAGCCCCCACGGGGCCGTGTGGGGCCACCCCACACCTCTGGGCACTGTTTCAGCCCTGCCCCACCAATTCTGTGCCCCTGACCCGGGGGCTCCCTGTGGGTCCATCCCATCTCCATGCCCTTGGGTGGGTGCCTCGAGCCCACCCTGCTCGGTGAGGGGGGGGCGTTGTCAGAGCAGCAAACCCACCCTTAACGTCCCCAAAATGCTTGGGGACAAGGGGACCCATTGGCACGAGCACCTGGGTGCGTGCACACCTGCTGCGTGGCGATGGAGCCGCGCACGGGGGGGCACGGAGACCCCCAAAGCAGGGGGGTGTCTGCAGGGGGCGGGTGCAGGCAGCACCCTTGGGTGCCCCTACACACCCCGAACCCCCACCCTGGGGCAGCGCAGCCTCTTCTCTACGGCCTCAGCCGCTCAGCCTCCGCCTGCAGCCTCCGCACATCCTGCGCCCTCCGCGAGGCCGCTTCCTGAGCGGGGCAGGAAGAGCGCGGGCTGCCACGGCGCCTCGCAGGGCAGCCCGAGACCCCCGGGGCGAGCCCCGGCCCCATGCATGGAGGTGGCCGCCGGCCCCCCCTGAGCCCCCAGCCCCATGGCTTTCCTCCGGAGGCTTTTCCGTTTGGGTCCGGAGAAGAAGAAGCCCAGGCGGTGCGAGCACGTCAAGCGGGACGTCGACCCCGAGGAGGCCTGGCTGGTGCTAGGCGAGCTGGGCGATGGGGCCTTCGGCAAGGTCTTCAAGGTAGGGGGGGGAACGAGCAGCCAAAAACCACCACCGATCCCCAAGGATTCTGGAAACGCGCTTTTTTTCTTCTCTTTTTTCCTTCTTCTTTTCTTTTTCTTCTAAATTTTTCGTCTTCCACGCTCCATCAAGCGCGGAGCTCGTTGCCATCCTGCAACCAGCCAGAAACCTTCAAAATGACCCAAATTTCTAGCGGGGGGTGGGAGGGTGCAGGTCCCTGAGCGTTGGTTCAGCACAGCCCCATCCACACCGCCCAGCGTGGGGGGAGCCCCGGTTCGGGTCCCTGCGGGACGCCGCTCACCGCCCCCAGTTCACCGGCGGGGCGCAGCGGGGATGTTTTCCTCCTGCACCATCACTGCCACCGCGGTGCAGAGGCAGGAAACCCAATTTGCTGCTCTCTGGCCCCAAAGCAGCAGCAGCCACCTTCCGGCACCGGGGCTGGGGGTGCACGATGGCCCCGCTTCTAAACCATCCCCTTCCCTTTGGCACCAGCTCTTTGGTTTTTTTTTTGGGGGGGTGGCCGAGTTCCTCTTTGTAGCACCCGGTGACCCGGGGTGGGCGCCAGGCAGCAGGGATGGGAAAAATCCCCCTCTCCCCCCAGCCCCGAATCCATGCAGGCTGCTGCTGGGGTGGGATGCAGCACTGAGGTGCCCCTTAAAATCTGCAGGTCCTCCCAGTGCCCCCCCAGTGCTCCCCAGCACCTCATAGTACAATCCCAGTGCCCCCCAGTGCTGCCTAGAGACCCCCAGATCCCTTCCAGTGCCACCCAGTACCACCAAGACACCCCCCCAGTGCCCTCCTGGTGTTCCCCAGCACCTCACAGTATAATCCCAGTGCCCCTCAGTGCTTCCCAGAGCCCTCCCAGTATCCCCCAGTGCTAACCCCTCACATACAAACCCTGTGCTCCCCAGTATTGCCTCAAGCCCCCAAAGTGCTCCCCATAGCTCCCCAACAGCCCCCAGTGCTTTCTGTGCCCCCTATTGCCACCGAGAGACCCCCAGCTCACCCCCCAGTGCCCTCCAGCAGCACCCAGAGCCCCCAGGCACACTCCCAGTGCCGTCAGGCAGGTGGAAAACCTCTCCCCCAGGCACAAAACAAGGTGACGGGGGCATTGGCGGCGGCGAAGGTGATCGAGACGCCAAGTGAGGAGGAGCTGGAGGATTACGCGGTGGAGATCGAGATCCTGGCGGGCTGCGACCACCCCAACATCACCAAGCTCCTGGATGCGCTCTACTGGGACGGGCGGCTCTGGGTGAGCGGCGGGGACACGGCGGGGGTGAAACATCCTTGGGGACAGGGGGTTGGGGCTGGCAAAGGCACTGTTTCAGATTTTGGGTGGATAACTCAGCTCTTTCCCGCAGATCTTGGTGGAGTTTTGTCCCGGCGGGGCTGTGGATGCAGCGATTTTGGGTAAATAAATGCGCTCCGGGTTACAAGCGCGCTTATCAGAGGGGTGGGAAGGGAGACTGGCAAATTTTGAGGTATTTTGGGGCAGGTGTAGGACCTGCAGGAAGGCTCAGGGTGCAGCTGGGGTGTGGGGGGGGGTTCATTAGAGTCCTCATTAGCGGCGGGGTTCATTTGTGCTGCTGGCAGAGCTGGAGAAGGGGCTGACGGAGGAGCAGATCCGAGCGGCGTGCAAGCAGCTCCTGCTGGCGCTGCAGTACCTGCACGGCTGCAAGATCATCCACCGCGACGTGAAGGCTGGCAACGTCCTGCTCACCCTCGATGGGGACATCAAGCTGGGTGAGCCCCAGGGGGATGCGAGGACGGGACCCCCCCGGGGGTGATTTATGCCCCGAGGGTCCCCTCCAACCCCTGCTTTCTGCGCTGCAGCCGATTTCGGCGTCTCTGCTAAAAACTCCAGCACCATCCAGCGCCGGGCATCCTTCATCGGCACCCCGTACTGGTAGGCGTGGGGTGGAAACCCCAGGGGGGTGGTGGGGTTTTGGGGTGTCCCGAACACCCTGCACCTCCTGTGGCTGCTTGCCACCAGCTTCGCTCCTGCTGCAACCCCCAGAGCATCTCGGCCAGAGCCAGTGCCAGTCCCAGGCCGGGTTTCTCAATAACACAGAGAGGAGAGGGGTTGCTGGGGGTGACAGCCCCCCTTGGGCAGCTCTGGGGGTGTCAGAGGTCAGGTCTGAGAAGGGAAGCAGCCCGGGGTTGGTTTCAGAGGGAGGCGCCAGCTCCGGCACGGGTGGTCTTGGCCCCTTCCCCTCGCTCCTGTGCGCAGGATGGCCCCGGAGGTGGTGCAGTGTGAGACGTCCAAGGAGAACCCCTACGGCTACAAGGCCGACATCTGGTCCCTGGGCATCACGCTGATCGAGATGGCCGAGATGGAGCCCCCCCACCATGAGCTGAACCCCCTGCGGGTGCTGCTGAAGATCGCCAAGTCCCAGCCGCCCACCTTGCGTCACCCCAAGAGGTGGTGAGTCCCCCTGCAGCGCACGGGGAGTCCCCTGGGCTCACCCTGCACAGAGAAGACCTTGAGCTCACCACACTGAGCCCCGTCACTGTCCCATGTCCCCTAGTGCCACATCCACAGCTCCCGGATACCTGCAGGGATGGGGACCCCCCCACTCCCCCCGCAGCCCCTTCCAAATCTCAACCACCCTCCCTGTGCAGAAATTCCTCCTGACGCCCGATCCAACCCCCCCTGGTGCCACGTGCGCCCATGCCCTCACGTCCCATCACTTGTCACTGGTGCTGGGAGAAGCTGTCCCATGGGGACCCCGAGGCAGGGGCAGGCAGGGTGGGGTCGTGAATTGATGGATGATGTTGGTCGTGGTTCCTCCACGACACAGCACCGGGGGTTCCCATCACACCGTGACCCACGGCAGGTGGCACGGGTGGGCAGCACCGGGCTGGGGACCTTCTGCCAAGCTGTCCAACACCCCCCCCTGAGCTCCCTGGGGACCATGGCCCAAAGCAGCCCCCCCACGCTCATGGAGAACATCCCACAGGTCCGAAGACTTTAAGGACTTCCTGAGGAAATCCTTGGAGAAGAGCCCCGAGGCGCGCTGGTCGGCCACGCAGCTGCTGCAGGTGGGTGGCCCCCGTCCCCTCCCCACCCTGCCTGTCCCCGGTGGTGGCCCCCAGCCCCATCCCTGCTCATCCCCGGCTCCTTCTCAGCACCCCTTCGTGGCGGGCGTCTCCGACAAGCGGCCGCTGCGGGAGCTGGTGGCCGAGGCCCGGGCAGACGTGCTGGAGGAAGAGGATGAGGAGGAAGCTCCGGGCCCCTCGGTGCGTGAGTAGTGACCAACGCGCCGTGGGTGCAGGGGACGGCTCCCCCCCGAGACTTCCCATCAGCTTCACCTCACCTCCCTGCCACCGTCCATCCCGCAGCCTGTCCAGAAGCACGGAGGCTCCTCCTGCCCCCCATCCCCGAGGGAAGCCCTGCAGCATCAGCCCCCAGCCCCAGCGGGGGGGCTCAGCGAAGAGCCCCCTATCCAGACGGAGGTAGTGCCCAGGAGCAAGACAGCGTCTGGCGACTTGAAGTCAGCGAGGAGGAAATCCTCGCCCGTGCCCACGGGCTCCCTGAGGCTCCCCTCGAGGAAGCCGTCCGAATTCCTGAAGCTGATGCGGCGCAGGTCGCTCTTCGGGGGGGTCAGGGCCCAAGAAATGTCTCAGGAGCAGCAGCGGGGGGAGGCGAGCGGCTTGGAGCACTTGGCGCTGGGTGCACCCCAGGGGACAGCGGAGGCAGGAGGAGACATCCAGGGGTGCCAGCAGGAGGGCAACGTCCCTCCGGGGACCCCCTGCACCCCAGCTGAGCCCCCCCCGGGGCCAGGCCAGGAGGGAGACCTCGCTGAAACGCAAGAACCCCAGCGTGGACCCGGGGCTGAGGATGGAAGCCAACACACCGATACCCCAGCCATGGATGAAATGCCTGCGGAGGGACAGCTCACAGCCCCGCTGCGCCCCGTTTCGCCCCCAAAAATTGATGAGAAAAAGGAATCGAGGGATGCTGCAGCTCGTAGCCTGCCCATCCTGCCTGGGCCCCCAGATGGAGCCGATGGGGGCTGGTGTGGAGGCTCTGCCAAAGGGGTTCTGGGTGAGGATCCAGGAGGACAGAGGACAAAGCAGCACCCAAGCTGTGCTGGTGCCCACACCAAGCACCAGCCGTGGGGTGGCTCCCAGCTGGTGGCAGCCCTGGACCTGTGGCCCTTGGGGACCAAAGCCCGGAGCTTCAAGAAGCTCGCAGAGCATCAGTGCTGGGTCACGGCACCCTCACGAGGTCCAAAAGTTGAAGCTGGCTCCATCGGGGCTGGAGGTGCCCCTGGGAAGGACAGGGACGGAGCAGAGAGGGCACCCACGGGACCTGAGGGTGATGGGGAGCCTGAGGACACCAAAACAGAGGGGGAGAGGGTGCTGCAGGAGGGGGCATCATTGGTGCCCTGTGTGATGGAGGAGGAAGCTGTGGGGTCAGAAGTGCCTGAGGGGGGACAGGAGCCCCCGACCGGTCAGGGAGAGGATGGAGAGAGGAACGAGGGGGAGAAAAACTCAGCTGAGTGCGAGCCCATCGCTGGCTCCTCGGCCCTGGTTAGGCAGGAGGTTGGGGGGGAGGAGGAAAAAGCCACCAACAGCGATGAAACCCCGGTGGAAACTTCTCCTGGTGAAGCCCCGGTGCCGGCAGAAGCCCAGCTGGAAGATGAGACTGGGGAAGGGCGTCTGGCTGGAGACCCCAGTGCAGTGGGGGGTGCAGCCGGCCTGGCCGAGCCGATGCCAACGGGAGAGGAGCTGGAAGCAGCCCCTGCAGGAGGGGGACCTGCCGGTGAGGGAGCCCAGATGGCAGCAGGGGATTCATCCAGCGTGGAGATCCCGGGGGCGCTTAAAGAAGAAGAGAAAGGAGAGGACAGCCCCAGAGATTGCCAGCAAGGGGCTGCTAACGGGAACAGCTGGAGGGGACACGATGGGGACGACGGAGAGCTCGGGGATGGGGCACGGCTTGGAGATGGGGCACGGCTTGGAGATGGGGCACAGCTCAGAGATGGGGCACAGCTCGCTCCAGCTCCTGGAGAACCTTTGAGGGATGAAGAGGTGGGCGGCTTGGAGAGTCACGGAGCGGTGCCAGAGCCCCTTGGAGCACCCCCAGAGGCCACGAACACCTCGAGCGTTGCTGCTCTTGTCTGCTCCCTCGCCCAGGTGCAGAACGCACCAGACCCATCGGTCACGTCAAAGCAAGGAGAAGAGCCACCTCCTGCAGAAAACCCCGCAGCCGTACAAGGTCTGAGCACCCTCCCTGTGACACCGCAGCCCCCCCCCTCTGTCGGGGAAGCCCAGCAGGTGAGCAGCTTGCAGGCGACGCGACCCACGGCGCTGCCCCCTGCGCATGGGCTCCGCATTAGGTTTGCCCAATTTGGGGGTCAGCTGAGCTCCCACCGTTGCCCCCAGCCGCAGGACCCCCCCTCGCTGCGAAGGACGGTGAGGAAAACCCGCAGGTTCGTGGTGGACGGCGAGGAGGTGAGCGTGACAACCGCCAGGACGGCCAGCAGGGCCGGGCCGAGGGATGAGAAGACGCGCTCGGCTCGGTGAGTGGAGGGAGGCTGGGGCTGGGAGGGGGGCTTTTTCCAGGCTTGCGGCCCCCCTCCCGCCCCAACTCGCCCCCCCTTTAGGCGCCAGGAGCTCCGCGAGCTGCGGGTGCTGCAGAAGGAGGAGCAGCGTGCGCAGAGCCAGCTGGAGCAGAGGTTCCACCAGCAGCGGGAGCAGATGTTCCGCCACATCGAGCAGGAGATGACGGTAACGGGGACAGGGGATGGGTGCGACTGCGGGGTCAGAGAGGGGCGCACGGCCCCCAGCCCATGCAGGGAGGAGCTGGGGTCTCACTGCAGGAGATGCTTTTGGGGGTTCACTTGGTTCGGTGGCCACGTCCCCGGTTGTCCCAGCCCCATCCATGCAGTGCACAGGTCACTTTTTGGAGGGGACGCTGCCTGCTCTGTGACCCCCTGCCCGGGTGTCACCGCAGCCCCCGTTAACCCTTCCCCTGCCCCTGTGTGGCAGAGCAAGAAGGAGTACTACGACCGGGAGGTGGGGAGCTGGGAGCGGCGCCACCGGCAGCTGAAGGAGTGCCAGGAGCTCAAGTACACGGCCAGGCTGCGCGACGAGGCCAAGCGCCTCAAGGCCCTCCAGGAGAAGGACTGCAGGAGGAGGCTGCAGGAGCTGAAGGGCGATGGGAAGGAGGTGAGGGTCCGGGATGGCGCTGTCCCCCCCCGGCCATGGCACCAGGACATGTGCCACCGGGGACCATCTGCTGTGGGTGGCCGCAGGAGCAGCGGTTCCTGCAGCAGCAGCAGCAGGAGCTCAACGCGGCGCTGCAGAGGGTGGTCCAGGAGCACAAGAAGAAGATGACGTCCATCGACTGGGAGTGCATCAGCAAGATCCACAGCCTGCGACGAGGTGGACGGGGCTGGGAGGAGGAGGAGGAGGGCGCAGGGGTCCCGGGGAGGGGAGCTGGGGGGGTTGGAGCCTGGGGCGGGTGGTGGTCACGGCGCTGTGCTCTCGCCCGGCAGCCCGCGAGGCGGTGGTGTGGAGCATGGAGCAGGGGCACCTGCAGGAGAAGTACCAGCTCTTCAGGCAGCAGGTGACGGAGCAGCACGCGCTGCAGCGGCAGCAGCTCCGCAGACGCCACGAGAAGGTGAGGCCGGGGCCGGGCGGCCACATCCCCCCTACCCCGGCTCCTCGGTCACCTCCTCGCTGCTCCGTCCTCGCGCAGGACACGGAGCGGGTGCAGCGCTTCCACCAGCTCGCGCTGGAGGAGCTGAGGAGCCAGCAGGCCCAGCAGCGGGCCCAGCTGCTGAAAAGCCAGCGCTGCGACGCCAAAACGCGCCTGGCCCTCTTCAAGGGCAACCTGAAGAGCCAGGAGGTCAACGGGGCCGAGCAGAGAGAGCTGGCCAAGCAGGTGGGGGCTGCCTGGGACACCAGGGGGGACGAAGCCTGGGGAGGGCTGGGGACGGGCGGCGTGACAGGGCTGTCCCCCCGCAGTTCCTGCAGCAGGAGGAGAGGCGGCAGCAGGCGGAGGTGCGGCGGCAGCAGCAGCAGCAGGCGCAGGAGCTGCAGCAGCTGCAGCAGCAGCAGGCCGAGAACTTGGTGGAGCTGGAGCAGATGCAGGTACCGGGAAGCAGCCTTCCCGCGCCTCCCCAAGTGAATCCCTTCCACCTCTCCCCGAGTGAATCCCTTCCCCTTGCCACCTCACCTCTCCCAGAGGGAGAAGATGCAGCTGCTGGAGGAGCAGGAGAGGAGGCAGCTGGGGCGGCTGGACGAGGAGCACGCCATGGAGCTCAGCGAGTGGAAGCAGCGGCTGGCTGCCCGCAAGGAGGTGAGCGGTTCCCCCGCACCCGCAGCATCCCGAGCCCGTACATCCCATCCCCGGGGGTCCAACAGAGGGCTCCTTCCCTGCCACCCAGGGCTGGGACGCTGAAATGCTGCTTCTGTCCCGCAGATGCTGGAGGAGGAGCTGGGGAACGCGCTGCCAGCGCAGCGGCACGGAGAGCTGCACGGCACCCACGGCAGCAGGACCGGCCGCTTCTTCCACCTCCCCTCCTGACACTACGCCGGGGGTTTCGGGGAGAGGCAGGCGCCCTCCAGGAGCTGGGAATGAAGGACCCCAAAGGCTGCCCCAGGATGCTGAGGTGCTGCAAGGACCACGGGGGCGGCAGGCGTGGAAGCCTTCAAGCCCTCCTTGGTCCCTGCCATGCAGCCAGAATGGCCCCAAAGCCCCTCGGGGCAGTCACCCCCCTGACCCCAAAGCCACGGATACAGGGGCGTTGCCCTCCTGCCAGCTGGTTACCCCTCGAGGAAATACAGCCTTTAACAAAGTCCCAGTTTGTCGTTATTTTACTAAAAATCTCCTGTCTGTGCTGTGAGCTGCCAGTGTCCCCATCACCACCATCCCCACCACCACCATCCCAGAAACAATTTCCCATCACGATGATTTCCCATCCCAGCAATTTCCCATCCCAGCGCTGATTTCCCATTCCAATGATGCTTTCCCTTCCTGCCAGTGGTTTCCCATTATAACGAGAACTTCTTAACCCCAAATTCCCCATCCCAATGACTTCTTCTCCCAACCATTTCCCTCCCTGGGGTGGGCTGACCTTGGCTGGCCACCAGCTGCCCCCCAGCCACTCTCTCATTCCCCCAACCAGACTTTACACCACTGACGCCTCCCTCTGGGCCCAGTTCAGCCAGTTTTTAACCCAGCTCCCTTTCTGCCCATCCTTCAACACCTTACCCACCAGGAGCTGATGGGGAGCAGCCTCAAATTCCCTCCTGAAGTCCACGCAGACCATCCTGGCATGGCCTCCCACCCCATCGCGCTTTCCCATCCCAACAGCTTCCTATCTCAATAAACATCTGTGATCTCCCCCCTCCATTTCCCACCCCAATATGTCCCCATGCCAGCAATTCCTAACCCCAGTGGGGCTTTTGGGGGAAGGGTGACTTTTGGAGGGAAGGGATGGGACTGGTGGCAGCGGCCCTGGGACACTGGCATTTGTGCTGCCCCGTAGGGCAGTGTGTGCGGGGGGGGGGTGCTGGGGGCTGTTTCACCCTCCTGCTCTGCACCCTGGGGTGCTCCCAGCACGGGCTGGGGATGCGGGTGCTGGGGATGGGGGTGGCAAGGTGGGGATGGGGGTGGCAGAGCAGGGGTGGAACTGGGGTGAAGCAGGGCGCTGGGACTGGGGCTGGGGCTGGGGCTGGGGCTGGGATTGGGATTGGGATTGGGATTGGGATTGGGACTGGGATTGGGATTGGGACTGGGACTGGGACTGGGATTGGGACGGCGGTGCTGGGGCTGCTCGGCAGGGTAACGCTGCCCTCTTGCGACCGTCCCATGGCGCTGCCTCCTCCTCCCGGGCTCACCGGCACTTCGACGGCAGGGAAACGCCGCCGTGACCGGCTTCCTTCCTCGTTTTTTTTATAGACAGGAGGGTTGGGGCAAAGGAGGTGCTTACAGCAGAGCCTGTCCCTTCTCCCAGGGACTCACCTCGCTCAGTTTAGGGCCACCGAATCTCAAGTGGGCAATGAACGGCAGCGTGAGGAGTTTTGCAACTTAATTCAGATGGTAAGGCCCCGTGGTGCGTTACAATGCCCCATGTATGAGTTAGGGATGGGATAAGGCCCCCTGGTGCATTACAATGCCTGTATACGTATGGCTGAGGTCAACTACATGAAGTTCAACAAGGCCAAGTGCCGGGTCCTGCACCTGGGGCGCAATAACCCCAAGCAGAACTACAGGCTGGGAGATGAGTGGTTGGAGAGCTGCCAGGCAGAGAAGGACCTGGGAGTGATGGTGGACAGTCGGCTGAATATGAGCCAGCAGTGTGCTCAGGTGGCCAAGAAGGCCAACGGCATCTTGGCTTGTATCAGAAGCAGTGTGACCAGCAGGGCTAGGGAGGTGATCGTCCCCCTGTACTCGGCTCTGGTGAGGCCGCACCTCGAGTACTGTGTTCAGTTTTGGGCCCCTCGCTACAAGAAGGACATGGAGGTGCTTGAGCGGGTCCAGAGAAGGGCGACGAAGCTGGTGAGGGGCCTGGAGAACAAGTCCTACGAGGAGCGGCTGAAGGAGCTGGGCTTGTTCAGCCTGGAGAAGAGGAGGCTCAGGGGCGACCTTATCGCTCTCTACAGATACCTTAAAGGAGGCTGTAGAGAGGTGGGGGTTGGCCTGTTCTCCCACGTGCCTGGTGACAGGACGAGGGGAACGGGCTAAAGTTGCACCAGGGGTGTTTTAGGTTGGATGTTAGGAAGAACTTCTTTACTGAGAGGGTTGTGAGGCATTGGAATGGGCTGCCCAGGGCAGTGGTGGAGTCACCAGCCCTGGAGGGCTTTAAAAGACGTTTAGATGTAGAGCTTAGGGATATGGTTTAGTGGGGACTGTTAGTGTTAGGTCAGAGGTTGGACTCGATGATCTTGAGGTCCCTTCCAACCTAGACAATTCTGTGATTCTGTGACATGAGGTTGGTGTGGGTGGGATCAGCGAGCAACTGCACCCACACCTTATATTACAATCACTCCTAAGCGTGGCTTCAATTGAAATGGGACACAAGCTTGATTGCATCGATTCTGACCTGAAAAACTTCACGGGCCTGTAATAATGGATGAGCAATCACAACAAAAGGTGCTTGAACTTTACGGGGGATGTGACAGGAACTGTAGAGCCCCCCCCCCCCAAACCCAATTTCTCCTGATCCACGCAGTGACCGTGAGCATTGCGGGGGGCTCCCAGCCTGGCCCCCAGCACCCCCCGGGTTGGGTCTCCCGCAGCACCCCCGGGAGCCCTGTCCAGTTCCTCACCTCCCTTATGGCAAGGGATTTTTCCTAATTCCTCCCTAACGCCCCCAATTCCTCCCTGATGCCCCCCCCCGTAATTAAATCCATCTCCCCGTCCCATCACTGCACCACCTGACCCTGACCCCGCTCCCCAGCCCCGCCAGCCTGCCCAAGGCTGCCCCCCCCCCTCGGACGAGAAGTATTATTTCTTATTTTATTTTATTTCTTATTTTATTTTATTTTATTTTATTTTATTTTATTTTATTTATTTTATTTTATTTTATTTTATTTTATTTATTATTTTATTTTATTTTATTTTATTTTATTTTATTTTATTCTTTTTATGGGAGGGGCTTTTCCCCCAGCCCCCGGGGCGGCCATAGCGGCGCCATCATGGCGGCCGCCCCCGTCTCCTAGCAACGCCGGCCCTTCCTGGAGGAAGGGGCGTGTCCCCCCGCCCCCAGCCGCCATTGGCTGAGGGGCGCGACCTCCTCCCTCTCCTATTGGCCGTCCCGAGGAGGGGGGCGGGGACTCGGCTTTCACGCGGGCGGCGCGGGGTTAGCACGTGGCCGGAGGGCGGTGACGTAGCGGTGACGTAGGAGGCGCCGGGATCCCCCCCGCGCCCCGCTGAGAAGGGGTCGGGGAAACCCCCCGGGGCGGGGGGGGATGGGCGGGATGGGAGGGGGGGGGAGCGTGAAATTGGGGCTGGAAGGGACTGGGGGGGGTCCCACGGGGGCTGGGCTCGGGGTGCAGGATTTGGGGTGGGATCCCATGGGATTGGGGCCGGGGATCCCTGGGGTCGGGGCCGTGCAGGATTTGGGGGGGGGGGGGCCATGGGGTCAGGGCTGTGCAGGGCTGGGGGGGGGGGGGCATGGGATCGGGGTTGTGCAGGATTTCAGGGGGGATCCCATGGGATTGGGGCTGTGTGGGATTTGGGGGGAATTCCATGGGGTCGGGGCTGTGAAGGATTGGGGGGGGAGGGGTCCAGTGGGGTCAGGGCTTTGCAGGATTTGGGGTGGGATCCTGTGGGATCGGGGCTGTGCGGGAGGTGAGGAGGGTTCCCACGGGATTGGGGTTGTGCAGGATTTGGGGGGGTCCCATGGGGGCTGGTTTTGGGGTGCAGGATTTGGGGTGGGTCCCATGGGATCGGGGCTGTGTGGGATTAGGGGGGGTGGTCCCATACGGGCGGGGCTGTGGAGGACTGGGGGGGTCCCATGGGATTGGGGCTGTGAAGGATTGGGGGGGTCCCGTGGGGCCAGGGCTGTGCAGGATTTGGGGTGGATCCCCTGGGATCAGGGCTAGTGGTGGGAGATCTGCCCCTAGTGTGCCACAGGACCCCGGATCCCCCCGGCTCCATCCCCAGCCACACCCCGACCCCCCCCCTCAGCAGGGATCTGCAGCCCCCCCAAGGGATCCACCCCTGGGAGGGATCCACCACCCACAGCCTCCTTTTGGGGATCCGCTCCCCACCCCCCGGCTCAGCCCCCCCAGCTGGGGACCCCCCCCTCCCTCCGGCTGGGGGCTCGGTCCCGGTGCCCACCGTCCCCCCCCCACCGCCCGCAGGTGCCGGATGCCCCCCGGCCGCGTGCCCTTGGCGCTGCCCCGCGCCATGCGCCTCGTCCGCTTCCAGCCTCCTGGGGGGGCCGAGCCCCGGCTGGGGCTGGAGGAGGAGGAGGGCGGGGGCCTGGTGGACCTCAGCGGGGCCGAGCCCTCGCTGCCCCGCTCCATGCGGGCCTTCCTGGAGACCGGCGAGCACGGGCTGGCCGCGGCCCGCAGGTGGGCTATGGGGTCCCGAGGTGGGCTATGGGGTCCCAAGGTGGGCTACAGGGTCCCGAGGTTGGCTATGGGGTCCCGAGGTGGGCTACGGGGTCTTGAAGTGGGTTATGGGGTTCAGAGGTGGGTGTTGGGGTCCCCAGGTGCTTATCATAGAATCCTAGAATCACAGAATGCTTTGGGTTGGAAGGGACCTGAAAGATCATCCCGTTCCACCCCCCCCTGCCAGAGTCCCAAGGTGGGTGTTGGGGTCCTGAGATGGGTGCTGGTGTCCCGAGGTGGGCTATGGGGTTCCGAGGTGTATTACTGAGTCCAGAGGTGGCTGCTGGGGTCTGGAATTGAGTGCTGGGGTCCCGGGGTGGGTTACAGGGTCACGAGGCGAGTTATGGGGTCCAGAGGTTGGGGTCCCAAGGGTTCCTGGCACCATCCCCATGCTCAGCCCCATCCTGAGGTGGGTTATAGGGTCCGGGGTTGGGGTCCCAAGAGTTCCTGGCACCGTCCCCATCCCCACAGAGCACTGGCCTCGGGCCAGCACCGCCTGCCGAGGGCGGGGGCGCGGCTGCTGGCCCCCATCAGTGACCCCGAGAAGGTGATCTGCGTGGGGCTCAACTACCGCGACCACTGCCTGGAGCAGGACGTCAAGGTGCCCAAGGAGCCCCTCATCTTCAGCAAGTTCCCCAGCGCCATCGTCGGGCCCTTCGACGACATCGTGCACCCGGCCGAGAGCAGCGTGAGTGCCCCCCGGCCCCCACCCCGTGCCCCCCGCCCCGTCTGGGGGGGTGCAGCCCCCCCCCCCAAGCCCCGATTTGTCCCCCAGGAGGTGGACTGGGAGGTGGAGCTGGCTGCGGTCATCGGGAAGACGGGGCGGCACATCCAGGTAACGGCAGCGCATTGTGCTTCGAGGGGGGGTGGCTGTGGCCCTGCCACCTTGTGTCCCCCCCCAGCACTGGCTGAGTGTCCCCCCCCCCCCCAAAGGAGTCGGCGGCGCTGGAGCACGTCGTGGGCTTCACTGTGGCCAACGATGTCAGCGCCCGGGACTGGCAGATGCGGAGGAACGGGAGGCAGTGGCTGCTGGGGAAAACCTTCGACACCTTCTGTCCCCTGGGGCCGGCCATTGTCACCAAGGACTCGGTGACAGGTGGGGGTGGGATGGGGCGGGAGGCAGAACCCCGGCTCACCCCCACCTCGAGCGTGGGGTCCCCGAGGTGCCCCCCTTGGTGACACGTCCCCTGCGCAGACGTCCACAACCTGAGCATCCGCTGCAGCGTCAACGGGCAGCTGATGCAGAGCAGCAGCACCAAGCAGCTCGTCTTCAGGCTGCCCCAGCTCATCGCATGGGTCTCCCAGTACGTGTGGCACCAGGAGGGGGGGGACAACACGGGGAAGGGGGGGCTGGCAGCGTCCCGGCTCCCCCCGTGTGTGTGGGACCCCAGCCGATGGCTCCCCTGCTCCCCCCAGGTTCGTCACGCTGCGCCCCGGGGACGTGCTGCTCACAGGGACCCCTCCGGGTGTGGGGGTTTTCCGGAAGCCCCCCGTGTTTCTCAAGGTGAGCACAGGGTGGGGGGGCTCGAAACAGGGCCAGGAGGGTTGGGGTGCCCCCCCCCATCAGATCAAACACGCTGCGGGCTTTACACCTTCCTCCCCCCATCCCTTCTCACCGACCCACCCAGCGCCCCAAATTTCCCCCTCCCAGGCTCCCAGCTCATGCTGGAGGTGGAGACCCCCCCTTGGCCGCCCTCCCCACGCACCCCACTCCCCCCTCCCCATGGGGCACGCACCCCTGGGGCCCAGGAGCCCCCACTTTGCCCCCCCCCGAGCCCGCAGCAGGCGCGGTGCCACCAGCACCTCCTGCCTTGCAGCCAGGCGACGAGGTGCGCTGCGAGATCGAGGAGCTGGGCACCATCTGCAACAAGGTGGTGTGAGCACCGAGCCCCCCCCCCCTGCTTCGACTGAGCCCCCCCTGGTCCTCGCCATGCCGCGATGGCGTTCAATAAAGCCAAACGAGGAGGAGGAGAAGGAGGAAGAGGGTGCTGCTCCCTCTGTGCCCGCAGCTGGGTTTATTGCTGCGCTGGGGCTACGGCTGCACGAACTGCTGGATGAAGGCTCGCAGCTTCCCCCGGCCCTCGGAGGAGCAGAAGGGCTCGGTGAGGTGCAGAAGGGGCCCCGCAGGGCTCGGCGCCTCCTCCAGCACCTGGGGAGGGACGGGGGGGGTCGCAACGAGGCTGCTGGGGATGGGGACGGGGGCAGAGCCCGGCCGTGCTTACCCCCATCTCCTTGAAGGTCCGCAGCGTGCTCAGCGCCAGGCTCTGGGTGGGGCGCTCTGGAGGGAGAGAAATCCCCGAGGGAGCCCCCCCAGACCCACCTGCAGCCCAGCAGGGGTGGGGGGATGCCCGCCACCAGGCCCCGACTCACCCAAACCATCCTCCTCTGCTAGGAACTGCTGCAGTGCCCCCACACAGGCTGCCTCTGGGGCGGGGGAGCGGGGTCAGCACCAGGGTGGGGGGAAAACCCCGATACCCCCAGCTCTGGGGCTGTGCAGCCCTGGTGGGCTCCAGCAGGGGCTGGGGCTGTGAGGGTGGGTGCTGCCGACCTGCCTCGGTTTCCCCCAAAGCCAAGCAGGGCTGGGGTGGGGGGTAGAAGAAGAAGGGGCCATGGGGGTGTCCGGGGGGGGGGGTCCTACCAGGCTGGGGCCAGCTGGGCTGCTCCAGGAACGCTGCTGCTCGCGTGTAGGTCTGCAGAACGGGGCTCAGGAGGCGGCAGAGGAAGAGGAGGAGGCCGGGCGAGCCTTCGGGCTCTCGGAGCTGGGGAGAGCCCGAAGTGAAACGAGTTTGTGGAGCCTCAGCACCCTGCAGGGGCATGGACGGGGGGAGCCCCCCACGCACCTTGAAGCAGCGGTTGCAGACGTCCTCGCTGTCACTGTCACTGTCGGTGAAATCCACCTCGGTCCAGGGCTGCCCCTTGCTGTAGCGCCGTGGGGCCGGGTCGCACAGCCAGTGCTCGTTCTCCGACTGCACAGTGACACCGGGCACCCGTGAATGGCACCGTGCATCCCTGTCCCCTCACCCCTGCCCAGGGGGGTCCTTCCCAGCCCAGGGGAAGCAGGGGACAGGTGCCCCAGTCCCTTGTCCCCAACCAGGACCAGAGGGCATGGAGCAGAGCGGGGACACCCACCTCCTCAGCCTCCAGCAGCCCGCACAGGATGAGCTTGTCCAAGATGTCCTGGCTCTGGTGGTCGAGGGGCTGGCAGGGCTGGCAGAGAGGAGAAGGGGCTGGTGAGGAGCCGGCGAGCACCCGGCCACCTCCACGCAACGGCAGCTGTCCCCGTGCCACCCGCTCCCACCTGGAGCCCCAGCAGGCTGGGGGGCAGCAGCTGGAGCAGCAGCAGGGTCTTGTGGAGCAGCTCGTCCTGGCTCAGCGTGATGCTGGCGGGGCAGGAGGCCGCCCCCAGGAAGGGCAGCATCTCCAGCAGCAGGGCGCGGATGGCGCAGGCTGCCGGCAGAGCGGGGCGAGCGGTGTCACCGCAGTGTCACCGGGCCCCAAGTCAGGGACCCCCGTGCCCCGCTGCTCACCTCCCACCGCCTCGCTGGCGAAGACGGGCAGCAGGGCTGCGCTGTGCTGGCCCAGCTCCCTGCACGCCTCCACCGAGACCTTGGGGACCACCAGGACGTCACCAAGGGGTGCGAGGTGGTAGAGGGTGAGGCGAGCTCTGAGCAGGGCCAGGCTGTGCAGCACCAGGGCGCGGAGCTGCCCCGAGAAGCCCACGTCGTGCTGGCGCACCAGCGTCTCCTCCAGGAGCCACGCGAAGTCTGACATGAGCCGGGAGAGCCGGACACCCTGCAGGGAGAGAGAGGAGGCTGAGCTGGGCTGGGGGCTCTGAGGGCAGCCTGGAAGCCCCCCAGGGGCCTCGCCTCACCTGGCGGTGCTTGTGCAGCAGCAGCGTGGACATGATGCCCACGGCCGTGACGGCGGAGCAGGCGGTGCTGTCTGCAGGGAGCGAGAGGTGCTCGTTTGTCTCCCTTGGCACTCGGTTGTTTGTGCTCTATTTCCAGCACGGGCGCTGCCAGGCAGCAGCAGGAGCAGGGACACGCAGCCCCGAGGGCGTCCTGCTCCCCCGCAGCCTGCGTGCCAGGCGGGTGGCTCAGGACAGACAGACCCCCCCCCCGACCCCCAGCAGCCCCCTCACCGCTCAGGGCGTGCAGGCCCAGCCTGGTCACCAGCAGTTTGGCTTCTGCCTCCCAGCCGGGAGCCGTTCCAGGGGCCGGACCCTCAGGCTCTGCCCTCTCGCTGCACGGCTGGCTGGAGCTGCAGAGCAGGGGGTGAGAGAGGAGGGAAAGGGGGGGCTGGGAGCAGGCGTGGGGGGGCGAGGCGCTGCCCTGAGCTTACTGCGTGCCGAGGAGGGTGGGCAGCAGCAGCTCCTCCGGCGGCTTCCCCGCGCTGCCCTGTCTGCTGAGGGTGTTTGTCACAAACTCCTGGGGAGGGGGACGGAGCTGGTTACTGCCAGCAGCCCTCAGTGCCACGCAGATGAATCCACGCCTTTGGTCCCACCAAGAGCTGCCCCATCAAGCCCCAGCTTTCCCTAGACACAGGCTCAGCGGTTCTCTGGAGAACGCCAGATCCCCCCAGGATCCCAAAACCTTTCCACACATCCCCCAGAGGCTTGCAGAGCCCAGAGCATCACTCAGCACATCCTCTGGGGCCGGGCTGGATCCCGGGAGCCAGCTCTGCCCCGGAGGGTGGCCGTGGTGCCGCGCTACCTGCAGGGAGAAGGGCTGGGCGAAGTCCACGCGGGCACAGCCGAGGCGTCGGCGCAGGGCTCGGCACGCGGCCCAGAGGCAGGTGCTGAGGCTGAGGGGCCGAGCGCCGTGCTGGGGGAGAAGTGGAGTTAATTAATTAATTAACGGGGTGGCAGAGGGGGACGCCCCCACCCCGAATCAGGTGCTGTCCCAGGGCAGGAGTGGGCTCGGGGCCGCTCACCGCTCCGCTGCCCTGGAGGCTGTCGGGGGCCAGGTCGTAGGCGATGCCCACGGGGACCACAAGGACATCGGGGACGGCGCCGTCCCACACGGCTCGGAGCACCGGGGCCAGCCACTCCTGGGCAGTAGCTGAAAGGCACCGCGGGGCGCAGGGCTCCTCCAGGAAGATCAGCAGAGGCTGCCGGCTCCTCAGCACCTCCTCAACGTACTGGAGCAGAGGGGGGGAGGCTGGGGGTGCCGGTGGCACCGCAGGGACGTGCAGGAGCTGCCACCACCCACGGCCGGGGGCTTTGCCCAACAGCCTCACCCATCTGCCAGCACGTGGTGCTGCAGCTCCAAGAAGCATTCGCTGGGTGCTTTGGGTGCTTGGGGGGGTTCCTCCCTCCCAGCCCGGGGGGTGAATGTGGAGGGTGGACTTACCGAGGCAAGCACAGCAGCTGGGAGCCCTCCGTCCTGCCCACTCGATGCCTGCTCCATCTCCGCAGGCAGGAAAACCCCTCCCAGGCAGCGAAGCAAGGCCCTGTTGGGGAGGAAAATGCTGTGGGTGCCCCCCACGAATGGGACCACGTCCTCCCTGCCACCCTTCTGCCCTCCCCACAGGCAATCTCATTCACCCTGTGCAGGGCAGCAGCCACGTGCCGGGCTGATAAAGGGCTCCCCGTGCCTTACCGGAGGCCAGGGCTGCAGTTCAAGCTGCCCACTGTCACCCTGGGCACCCCCAGGCCGTTGGAGAAGAAGAGGAAGGAGAGCAGCAGCCCGTCCAGCCGGGATTTGTGCGTGGAGAGGAAGACCAGCGGCACGTCGGGCTGTGGGGACGGAGGAGGCGATGAGGACTGGGTGCCGAGGGGGAGATGTGCAGCAGCGGCGTGCCGGGAGCGGGCGACCGCGCTCCTCACCGTGGTGGCAGCCCTCAGCACCATCTCCAGCTGCCCTCGGTGGAGCTGCACGCTGAGGAAGAGGCGGCTCAGGAGCCGCAGCAGGACCCAGCCGCACAACCTGCGGGACAGAGCAGCACAGCAAGGCGGTGAGCAGCCCCCCAGGGGCCGTGGCTGCACTCAAAGCCCCCCCGGAGACCTCGGCCAGGCTACGAGGCAGCACCCAGGCACCATCCGGGGACGTGGCCGCTTCCCTCAGCTCCCTCCCCCTCCTCCCAGGCACAGTCCTGGCCCTCCCCTGCCTCAGTTTCCCCAGCCAGGCACAAATGGGGCTGTGCGAGACGGTTCGCTTCACAGCATCGACTCCTGATCTCACTGCTCAGCTCCCATGAAGCAAATAAACAGCTTCATTATAAATTAAGTTAAAACACTAAAGGCTGGATGTGACAAGACCACCCCCCTCTCCCCCCAGTAACAAAAGCTCAAGTCAATTACCCCTCCATCTCCCCGTCCTCCCGCACGCTGCTTACGGGAAGGATCTGAGCGCTTTTATCCCCTGGGTAATTTCTTCCCTTTAAATACTTCAGACTGCTCAGAAGGTTCTTTTATTACAGCTCAATCAGACGAGCAATTAGGGTACAATGCAACCTTTAATTGCCAATTTCTCAATGACAGGAGGTAAAAGGAAAAAAAAAAAGGGGGGGGGGAGAAAAAGGAGAAATTTTCCTTTGCTTTGCTTTGATTTCCACCCCCCTGGTGTGGCTCCCCCCGCCACCACCACTCCAGCATTTTGTATTCCAGCTCTGCGGAGGGGGAAATATCCCTAGGAGGCCATGCGAGACCCCAAGGAGCAATCCCCCCTTGCAAGGGGCTCCGTGCCCCACCTGAAGAGCAGGAGGGAGCTGGAGCAGAGGAGCGGGACTGGGAATGGCCAAGCTGGGGCTGGGAGCAGCCGCACGGCCCTGCACCCACCTGAGCACGGGGAGGGAGAGCGGGGCCTGGATCCCAGCCAGGATCTCCAGGACTTTCTCCTTCCACCCCTGGCGGGACTCGCTGTTCCCCCCCGAGCCACGGGCCTGCCTGGCAGCGACGTCCCGTACCCTGCAGAGGAGGGAGGCGAGGTGGGAAGCGCGGGTTTAAAGCTTTTTTTTCAGCCAAACCCGCTATGAGTTACAATAATTACAGTGTACCGGCTGCCAGCCCCGTGCTGGATAATTAGCAGTGACAAGGGGCGAGGTGACAGGTGCCTGACGAGGCCACGTCACCCGGCGCCGCGCAGCAGCAGCAGCCAGAGACCAAACACGGAGCAGCCCCTGCACGAGGACAGGGTCTCTGCTGGGGGGTGACACCGAAGCCCCCAGCTGTCCCCACTGACCTGCGGCTGCGGCAGACTCTCTCCGGGAGGTCCCTGGGGGTGTCGGCGGGCACCTTCCAGTCCCAGACAGCCAGGAAGCCGCAGAGGCGTCGAACCAGCCAGCCCCGGTACCTGGGCACGGAGACAGAGTGGGTGAGAGCAGCCGGGGCTGCGGTACAGAGCACCCCCATTTTCAGGGTGCTGTTACTGCATCGGCCTCCCTCGAATGTGCTCTTTGCAAGCATTCAAGACTTTTCTTCCCATTTTATAGCTGAGGAAATGGAGGCACTGGCACTCTGCTTGGTGCAGAGCGCTGCTCCAGGCCTCACCAGATTGCTGCCCGCTTTCCTGGCACGGAGAAGGAAATCTGGCATTGCTCGGGAAGAGCTGGGGGCTTGCAGGCTGCGAGGAAAGCTCTCCAGGCACCCTCCAGCCCTCCCCGCCTCAGCAAGCCACCCCTGTGTCTGCTGACATGTCCCCGAAGCTGCTCTCGCCAGCAGCTCTGCCAGCACCGGCACTGCTGCGCGTCCCAAGCCAGGGACTTCCCCAAATCCACCCCAAATCAGAACTGGGCAGCACCACTGGGTCAGAGAGGGGTGTACGTGATGTTCCAGGCATCACAGAGCATGGGGGACCCAGCGTGCGACGAGGCTGTGGGTGCCCAGGCAGGGGCAGAGGGTCTCCACACCTCCAAGCTGTCTGCTTTTGATCTCAGCCTCCCATCTCCAGCCTCTTTTTTAGCATCCCGCAACTCCTGAGGCGCTCTGAGCGGAGATGAATTATTCAAAGAGTTTGAAAGCTGGGAGCTGGGATATTTCAAGCAGAAGGGAGCATAATGACCCGATTTGGAAAAATACAGCGCAGAATTGCTGAGCCGCCAGGGACTGCTCAGAAAGGGAGAGGAACCGGAGGAGTCCGGCACCTCCAAAAACTCGGGCTGAATTCAGCGACAGGCGTTTGGCAAGCGAGCGGCTCCTGGGCGGCCACGTCAGCTCCTCAGCTGGAGCAGGGGCTGGTTCACACCAGCTGAGATCCCCGTGGGGCCGTGGGGAGGAGGAAGCGCATGGGGGCTGCCGAGGCCATCTCGCATCTCCCAGGGGTGGGAGCGAGCTGGCCCCGCGTGCGTGAGCTTCTCCTTGTGCCGGAGCCAGAGGGGAGAACGAAAACACCCTCTGCCCCCTCTCAGGCTCTTCCCAACAGCTTCAAGAGATCAAGTTTTGATTTAAGAAGTCCCAAGCCCTTGACACTGTGGCTGACTGCTCTTCCAGGCCACGAGGGTGACAGTAAGCAGAGGAACGGACCGAGCCCTTTCCTCTCTGCTGTTATTATCGCTCTGCACTCGGAGATGTGGCTTCCATTCAAAAAATAATTAACGTGACTACTTTCTGGACTAATTAGTGAGCGAGGATGACAGAGAGGCGTCCCTGCACTCCAGTGCAGCAGGGGAAGTCGGTTCCCCAGGGATTCAGACAAGAACAAAACCTGGAAAAAGGGATTTGCCCAGCATCCCTGGCACAGGGCTCTGCTCCGAGTGCTCCCGCAACAACCGGTACCGACGGTCCCGTCCTCACCTGGTGTCCTCCTCCGTCACCTGGGTGGTGTTGCGGAAGCCGAGGGAGGAGAGCTGCGCATGGTAGAAGCCATCCTGGGAGCAGAGCAAGGAAAATGGCTGGAGGTTAGCCCAGACCAGCTGGGAAAGGCAAACCCACCACCACTGCACCAGCAGCCCTCAGCTGAGCCCCCGCAGCGGGCTTACCCAGCTCCTGGGGGTGCAGGTCTGGCAGCAGCGCCCCGTGAGCGGCCGGTATTTGCCCAGAAAAGGGATGAAAATCTCCACTTTCTGTTCTGAATCACAGACCCAAGTCTTCATCTGAAGAGGGAAAGAAAGACAGGGAGAGGGAGGGATGGCAAGGAACCTCCTTGCCCTGGAAATACGAAGTGCAAGCAAACGCTCCCCCAAATGCACTGGGGCAAGGAGAAGTCCACTTCTAAACTCTCTGGGGAGAAATAAAGCTGCTACGTGCTGGTGCAAACCTCCTGTGACCAAGCCCCAGGTTCAGCCTGCAGCTGCCTTCCTCCCCAAGCAGCCCCCTACATTTAGCTTTTAAAGGGGCCTTGTAAAAAAGATGGAGAGCAACTTTCTGCTCAGCCAGATAATGACAAGACAAGGCGAAATGGTTTTAAACTAAGAGAGGGGAGATTTCGATTCGAGGTTAGGAGGAAATTCTTCATTCAGAGGGTGGTGAGGCACTGGAACAGGCTGTCCAGAGAGGATGGGGATGCCCCATCCCTGGAGGTGTTCAGGACCAGGTTGGATGAGGTCCTGAGCAACCTGATCTGGGGGTGACATCCCTGCATGTGGCAGGGGGGTGGCACTGGGTGATCTTTGTGGTCCCTTCCAACCCAAGCCTTTCTGATTCCAGGATACATTTACGTGCCACTGTCACCAGAGGAACGTGGGGATCTGGAAATGATGAGAGCAGCACCCTGGGGTGATCACCGTGCTCCAGCAGGAACAAGCCCTTGGAGACGTGTCCGGCACGGCCCGTGGAGGTCAGCTGAGGAGGCAAGGGCAGGAGAGAATCAGTGAGAGTCAGGGTGTGCAGGAAGGCTGTGGAGACCCCTCGCCCCCACGACAGCAACCAGGAGACCTCTCCCCTCATAACCAGGGTGGGGGACAATGGGACAACGGCAGCATGGGACCCACGGAGTGCCAGAAGGAGGTGCTGAGCCCCTCTCCCCACTTCAGGCATTGGAAGGGAAGGGACCGGCTCCTTGGTGGGGAAATGAGTTGTTCTACTGCAGAAAGAAAGAAAGGGAGGGAAAAAAACAGCAACCAACGCTCCAAAAGCCCTCGGGAAAAGAATTTGTTCTTTGTAATACAGCTCCGGCACGGCTACAATTGACTTTTCCCTCCCACACCTTCCTCCCCGCAAGCAAGGAGATGCCAATCTGTACCCAACAACCCCATGGCACCACCAAGACACAGAGATCCCCAGGACAGCAAGGACAGGAGAGAGTCATGCAGGCAGGGTGGGATGTAACACTGTCCTTCTGGAAATCTCCCCTCCCCAGACACCTGAGAGACACTCGGGCTGAGCCCCGCAGTGCTTTGCAGCCCAGGCTCCATGCTGCTCTTCAGGGAGATGTTTACACCCCAAAAGGAAGGAATAATCCTTGGTTTTCAATCCCAGATTTTCAAACCCAAGCAAGGAGATGCTGCGTGACACCAGCCAACAGCAAACGCACCCACTGCTGATCAGCAGGGACACTTCTCCCTCTATAAAAAACAAATGCAGGAAAGTAAACCGTGCTAATGTGGCTCACGGATGCCAGGAGGAGCGGGGTGACAACCACAGTGGGGACATCCCAGGGTCACTCGCGTGCCCACACATGAGACCCCTCTGGCAGAGCCGGTGCAGCCCGCGGAGGCTGCAAACACTTCTACCCCCGCCTCACTTTGGAGCAGAGATTTTAAAGTCATTTTATTCCAAGAAACAGCACTCAGCGAGGCTTCTCCTGGCAGCGACGGGAGCGCGAGCACTTGCTCACGCAGAAAAACAACCTGTTTTTCAAATCCAGCAGGGGAAAAGAAGGAAACAGGGGTCTGGCGTCAGCCTGCCCCGGGCCACCTGGGCACCTGGGGGGAACCCACAGGGGACCCGAGCAGGGTACACGATGCCTGGGTACAGCGGGGCGCTCGTGGCATGAGGGAACAGGGCCAGCACGCGCTGGCAGTCACCGCGTCCCCGCCACGGGGACAGCCTGTCCTTGTCCCTCAGGGAGCCTCACCTGGCTTCAGGCTGCGATGGCGTGGGGGGGTACGCTCAGTCTCGGTGCTGAAGGGGGACGCTGCCCTGTGTCCTGTGCCACACAGCTGGGGAAGAGAAGACAGAAACTGGGCAGAAAGAGTGGGTTTGGGGTCTGGTCCTGCAGAGGGGGCCGCTGGCACAGGGCATCCTCACGGACCCCACAGGGCTGGGGAGGGGCAGGAGGAATGGACCCCGCACGGGCCCCACAAAGCCCTTGGTGGGGTTTGGGAACCCAACCCCACAGACCCCACGCGTCCCACTGAGCCTTGCTCATGGGGAATGTACCCCACAAGGACCCCTTACATCCTACATGGACCCCTTCCACCCTACATGGGCCCCACACACTCTACTTGGGCTACACACACCCCCATGGACGCCATACACCCCCCATGGGCCCTACACAGCCCACATGGACCCCATACACCCCACATGAGCCCCACACAGGCCCCACAGAGCCCTGGGGGCTTTGGGAGCCCACGTTGCACGACCCCACAGGGCCCTGGGGAGGGCACAGGCCCCACACAGCCCCTATACTCGTGGTCTGGGGGAACCCACCCTACAGCCCCTCCAGGGCCATGGTTTGGGGTACGCCCCCCCCAGGCCCCATAGAGGCCCCCCAGGCCCCGGTCCCGCTCACCACCACCCGGCCCGGCCCGGCCCGGCCGCCCCGCTCCGCCCCCGGGTGGGCACGGCCTGAGCGGGCCCCTCCTGGGTCTCGGTCCCCGGGGTGGTGGCCGTGGCCCTGTGCCCTCCCCCGACCCCCCAAATCCCGGTCCCCGTCCCTCCTTGTCCCCCCTTGTCCCCCCTTTTGTGCCCCCCGTCCCCGACCTCCGCAAGGCTGGGAGCCCGCGGGGGCTGCGGCGGGCAGGCCTTGAGTGAGGGTGCTGAGGGATTAAGGGGGGAAAAAAAGAAAAAATAAGGGAAAATAACAAGTGAGGACAAATAAAAAGGCATTTATATAGAGGGGGGCAGCTCCAGAGCCTGGGCAGGGGGGCTGCGTCCTGCCCACCCCAGGCCCGGTGCTTTCGGGGTCTTCCAGCTCTCTGCGTTCTTCCAGGCTTTTTCCCTCTTTTTTCTTTTCTTGTTCATCACTTTTTGTGTGTGTGTGAGGGGAGCTTTTTCTCATTTGTTGCCTTTTCCTCAGTTTTTCGATCTTTTTCTCACTTTTTTCTACTTTTTTCTCACTTTCCCCCGGACCCGGATAGCAGCAGAGCATCGCCCGGCGACCCCGGCAAATCTCACCCCGCGAGGAAGCTTTCACGCGGCCCAGCCCAGAATTTGGAAAAAATTTTTGAGCATTTTCTCCGCAAAGTGCCTGCTGCGGCTTTTCACCCCCCGGCGCGCCGCCGCCAGCCGCGCGGTGGTGGCCATGGTTACCGTATCTCCCCTTCCCTGCCTCGTGCCGCGCTGCCATTAAACCCAAGTACAAATAAAGCGCTTTCACAAGCCCCGGCGGCCCCGAAGCCGCTCCCAGATCCTTATTTTTAAATATTTGAACGGAAAGAAGCATTTTTCCCCCATGAAGAAACAGATTGCCCCCGCCGCGTTCCCGCCTGACCTCCCCTCCGCAGGCGAAAGTGGCCAAATGTTGTCACCACCCCGCGAAATAAAGCAAACAGCACGGGACGGAGGGAGCGCGCCGCGGGGCTGCAACCGAGCCCGTTTCCCACCCCAGTGAGCCCCGGAGCTGCAGGCTGAGACCTGGCAGGAGCTCATCACACCTCAGCATCACCCACGCTGCTCCCACACCAGCGCTTTCCCAGTCTGAGGCAGACTGGTGCCAGTTCTAGCCAGCCGCTGGGCCTGAGCATCCTCCCTGGCAACAACCTCTGCACCCGAGGGAGGAGGCTGGGCGCAGCAATTAATGTTTCTGCTCAATTAACCTCTCCCCGCGCTTCCCCATTGCTGGCGGGGCCGTGGGTTGGCTCAGCAGCAAGTGTGGGGTCAGCCCAGCCTGAGCAAGCCCTCGAGCCCCCGGCACGTCCCCAGGGAGCACCGAATTCCAGAGGCATGCGGACTGACGCCACACGCTTTGGGGTCTAACCAGGGCTTTTTTTTACAATTTTTTTTTGTTGTTGTTGTTGTTCACTTTAATCCATGGGATTTAAAAATACATATATATGAATTTACATGGCCTCTTTTTTGCAGCAAACCTGGTTACGCTGAGTAGGGGGGATTTTAGTGAGTCACCATGACAACCTGGGTGCTGTTTTGGGGAAATTACCAGGAAGAGAAGGGCTGTGAGAGCCTGGGGAGTGGGGGGGAAGGGGTAAAGGGGGCTGGAGGCAGCACTGGGGCTGGGGCAAGCATCCTCTCCCACTGGGGCCATGCCCAGCCTCCTAGGACCAAGCCCAGCTCTATAGGGCCAAGCCCAACCCCTTAGGACCATGCCCATCTCCATGGGACCATGCTGAACCCCATAGCACCTTGCCCAGCCCTACAGAACCATACCCAGCCCCATACAACCATACCCAGCCCCATAAAAGCCTACCCAACCCCATAGAACCATGCCCAGCCCCACAGCTCCCCTCAATGCAAGGCAGTGGGGGGCACTGGGAGGGCAGGGGGCTAGGGCTGGCTGGGGGCCAGGGTCTCGGCGTGCGCAGCGGCCCCGGTCGCACGCCCTCTCCCGCGCCGCTGTCACCCCAGCACTGTCCCAGCGCGCCAGGTCAGGCCAACGGCCGCCGGCCTCTTCTGGCTTGGTTGTGGAGGAGGGGGGGAAGTGTCCGGGCTGGGAAAGGGCTTCCAAAAAAAGCTCAACCCGTTTTCAGGGTGGCCGGAGGCGATTGTCCCTGCTGGGACGGGGAGGTGGCGGGGGGCCAGCACCGCTCCGCCACCGCAGGGGCGAGCTGTCCCCAGCCCTGTCCCCTGGGGCTGGGCTCGGCATGTGCAGCCCCACGTTCGCTGCTTCTCCCTGGGCTGGTTGTGGGGGGGGCACGGGGTGGGATAGGGGCACGGATGGGGTGGGGGGCCTGGGAATATGTGGGTAAGGAGGCAGCGGTGTGAGGCACAGGACTCTGGTATAAGGCAGGATCTGGGGGGGGGATCCTGCAGCACTGGGGGGCACCAAGCACTGGGGAGGGTCCCCATGTGGTGGTGGGGGTCCCCATGCCCCACTGCGGGGCACCGTGCACCTCTGTGAGTCACGATGCAGTGGTGTGGGTCACGATACACCAGTGTGGGTCACCACCGTACACTGGTGTGGGTCACCGTGCGCCGTCGTGAGTCAGCACAGCAGCGTGAGTCACGATACAGTGCTGTGGGGCACAGCGTGCCACCAGGAGTCACGATACACCAGTGGGGTCATGACATGCTGGCGGAGGCTGCAGTACAGTGGAGGGGGTGATGCTCCACCACCGTGGGTCATCGTACACCGGTGTGGGTCGTGATACACCACCATGAGTTGCGATACACCGGTGTGGGTCACCACACACTGTCGGGAGGCACGATACAATGGTTTGGGTCATGATACCGGTGTGGGGCATGGTGTGGGGTGTGACACACCATCCCGAGCCACAATACACCAGCATGGGGCACACCACACCACCATACAGAACTGTGGGTCCCGATACAGCCCTGTGGGTCACGACAGAGCAGTGTGGGTCACACTGACATGGCTCACATCACACCACTGTGACCCCCACCCCATGGGCACAGCTCACGAAACCCCCTCCAGGGGACCCCCTGTTCCGGGGCCAGGCAGCACAGCCCTATATCAGACAGCTGAGAATCCCCCCCTCATCATTTCACATGGCACCGTTGCAAGCGGCCAGCACGGGGCTTTGTCCCCGTCCCCCGGCGCTGCCTCCCACCCCCGTCCGGTTCAACATCCTCGGGGTCGGGCCCTGCGGGAGGCAGCTGCAGGGATTTATTCTTTGGGGCGGGGGGGTTGGGGGGTGTTTTTCTAATTATTATTTATTTTCCCCGTGCGCTGCCATAAATAACCGACCCCGTCCAAACATTTTGTTCCCGCTCACCCTGCAAACATTCCTCCCGAGCAGGCGACCCATGGCCACGGGAGGAACTCAGCCCCGAGCGCTGCCCTTGCACCGTGGGGGGGTGGTTCCAGGGCCCCCCCAACCCAGCAGGGGCACAGGGCGAGGTGGCTGCTCCAGCTGGGCTGTGCCCCCCGTGTCCCCTCCACGGCGTTGAGAAGGAAGTGATTTTTTTTTTTCTTATTACAAAATATCTTTTATTGTTAAAAGGCAGCGGCCCCCAGGACTCGGGGGGCTCAGCTGGGACACCCAAAAAACAGGGGGAAAAACTGATTTCCTGGGGGCACCGTGTGTAGGGTGGGGAGAAAAATCCCTGACCCCCCCCATTGCCGTTCCCGGGCTGGGGTCTGCTTGCCGAGTACCCCAGCACAGCTGGGGAGATGCCACCGGGCTCGGGGACAGGGGATATGTGGCACGGGTGGCACGTGCCCCCAGCCCCTTGGGGCCGGGTTTCCCGCGGCAAATTTGGCAGCGAGACGAGGCAGCGGGCGGGCAGGCGCTGCCAGCCGAGAGCCTGCTGCCTGGGGAGGAAAAGCGGGGGGGGAAAGGGAGAAACGATAAGGAAAAAGGGAAAACGAGGAGGAAAAAGGGAAAACGAGAGGGAAAAGGGGAAAACAAGTGGGAAAAGGGGAAAATGAGGAGCCCCCGTGTGAGCTGGGTCCCCCAAGGGGACGGCCACCAGGACCGGCAGAGACAGCAAAGGCGAGAGGGGTGGAAGGAAGAGCAAAGCTCCCCGAAAACCGCGGCACGAACCCGTCGTAGCGTTGGGGGGCTGGGGGGGCGAGGCGCAGTGCCTCCGGGCGGGGGCGAGCCCCTCACCACGCCGTCTGGGCGCCGCGGCGGCAGAGGATGCGGCGAAAAGCCTTGCGGAAGTCCTGGTTGAAGACGGTGTAGATGACGGGGTTGAGGGAGCTGTTGCAGTAGCCGATCCAGAAGAAGAACTGGAAGACGCCCTCGGGGACCTTGCAGCGCCGCGGGCAGACGGCGCCCAGGCTGTAGAGGAAGAAGAAGGGGAACCAGCAGAGGACGAAGACGCCGATGACGACGGCCAGCACGAAGGTGAAGCGCTTCTCCCGGTTCGCCTGCGCCTTCCTCCGCCAGGGGCCGGGGCTCAGCGTGGGCGCCAGCACCACCCGCCCCGTCCCTGTGGCCAACGTGTCTCTGGGGCGCCCCGCGGGCCGTGGGGACCCCCCGGAGCCCCGGCCGGCCCCCGCTGTCACCACCGCTGCTGCCGACGGCTCCTCGGGGCTGAGCAGCGAGGTCCTGTCTGCCGGCAGGGGATGGGGTCCCCGGGTGTTCCCATCGGCGCTGGGGGCGGCGTTTGGGGGCGCCGAACCCGGGGGGCTGGGGGCGGCGGGGGGGCTCTGGCCACGGCGGTGGCGGCGCTTGGCGATCAGGTAGATGCGCAGGTAGACGAGGATCATGATGAGGCAGGGGGCGAAGAAGGAGCCGATGCTGGAGGAGAGGATGTACCAGGCCTCCTCGTTGAGCTTGCACTGCGGCCGCCCGCCCGGCGCCGCCTTCTTCTCGCCCTTGTAGACCAGGGGCGGCAGGGAGATGACGGCGGCGATGGTCCAGACGATGAGGATGCTGCACTTGATGCGGCGCGGAGTCCGCTTGGCGTTGTACTCGATGGCGCGGCTGACGGACCAGTAGCGGTCCAGGCTGATGGCGCAGAGGTGCACGATGGACGAGGTGCAGAAGAGCACGTCCAAGGCCAGGTAGATCTCGCACCACGTCTTCTGGAAGTACCAGTAGCCCAGCAGCTCGTTGGCCAGCGAGAAGGGGATGATGAGCGTGGCCACCAGGATGTCGGCGGCCGCCAGCGACACCAAGAAGAGGTTTTGGGGTGCCCGCAGCGAGCGGCTCGTCAGCACGGCCATGATCACCAGCACGTTGCCCGTGATGGTGAAGAGCACCAGGAAGGTGATAGCGGCCGCGATGGCAGCGGTGGCCTGCACCGAGTACCCCCCCTCGGGGGTCTCCATGGCGGGGGCCGGGGGGGCACGGAGCCGGGATCCGGCCAGCGGCGCTCAGCGGCCCCCCGGGACGCGGGGGACGGGGAGGGAGGATGAGGATGGGGTGGGTTGGGGGCCGGGGGTCCCTCTCGCCATCCTGCTGCTGCTGCTGCTGGGCTGCCCGCCCCCTGCCCGTCCCCTGCCCGGTGCCGGTGCCGGTGCCGGTCCCCTCCTGCCGGTGCCGGTGCCACCGGGCTCTGCGCCGCCGGGCGCCGCCTCCGCGGGGTTTTGATCGGGCGCGGGAGGGCTCTGAGCCGCCCCCGCCCCCGGGGCGGACCCGGGCGGCACCGGGGACACGCGGAGGAGCCGGGGGATGCGCCGGGCTCCAACCCGCCCCCCCCCGGATCGTGTCACCCCCCCGAGGATGGTGTCCCCCCCCTCCGGTGCCTGCATCCCCCCAGTACTTGTGTCCCCTCCCCAGCACCCACGTCCCACCCGGACCCTCGTCCCTCCCCAGTACCCGCGTCCCTTCCCCACTGTGAGCCCCCCCAGCACCCGAGCCCCCCCCCAGCACCCCTGGCAGCCCCCCAGCACTGTCACCTTCCCCATAGGAACTGCATCGTGCAGCAGCACCCACGTCCCATCCCTTCCTTTTGGCGTCCCCCCCGACCCATCCTCACTGCCCATGCCCCCCAGGGCTGGATGAACTCCCCCAATCCCAGCCACTCCGCAGCCACCCCCCAGTTTGGGACTTTGGCCCCAAATCTTTCCCCCTGATCTCCCCGCCGGCTCCATCCCTAAGGGGTTTGGATGGGGCACCCAAGCAGCTCCAAAAACTGACAGCAGAAATTCCTGGAATTGCCCCTTTTTGCCACAGTTTCGATGCACTCAGGACCCGACCTTGCCCAGGTTTCGAGGCACCGATGCCAAAACCAGACACACAAATCCCACTGGGATTTGTGGCCCCGTTAAAACCCGTAAGAGAAATCTCAGACTGGGAGGAAGAGCAGCAGAGCGGTGGTGCCCAGCTCCATGCCCCGCTCTTCTTGCCCCAATTCTTTATTATTTTATGAGAAAAAGGAAGGCTGCCTGGGCTCTGGCACTTGTGCTGAGGGTGTGTGCAGGTTTGCCTGTTGTTTTTTTGTCCCTGTGCGCTGTTTCAGATGGGGCAATCAATGATTCAGCCGCTGGGGACCATAAAGCACCTTTGTCTCTCCGGCTCCTCGATCTCGCTTGTTAAAAGACACTTTTATCTCCAGCTCCGCGCTTTTGGGGCTTTTTTCCCTTTTTTTCGAGGGCTGAAGATGCTTTTGGAGCATTTCTAAGGCACGCTGCAGCCGTTGCTGCTCCAAGGTCGCCTCCGTGGCCCGTCCAACAGCAGTGTCCCCATGCTGGGGACCCGTCCTTGTCCCCCTGGTGGGGACACCAACCCGACCCCGTTTTCCTCCTCAACCCCCAGGGATGCTGCAGGGGCTTAGCCCCAGCACAGCCCCGTCCTTCACCCACAGCCATCACTGAAATTTGGGTTTTATTAAGGGAGAAACCGAGGCACAATGGGGCAGAGCCTCAGGCCCACTCCCCAACCCAAAGCTGGATGCAGCTCCGGCACCTGCAGGCAAAACCCCTTTTTCCCTCTTAAATGAGGTTTTCCTGAAACAAAGAGGTGGGCACAGAGAAGTCACCTCTCTGCAGACCGGGGCTGGATGGGGCTCCCAGCAGCGCCTCGCTGGGGGCAGAGTCAGGCCCTGGTTCCTCTCCTGGCCCCATCCTGCTCCTCGCAACCACCTCGCCCCCAGCTCAGCCACGGAAACCACCAAGCCCACGTCGGGAAGCCTCTGAATGCCAAGAAAAGTTTATTTTTTCCTTTTAATGCCTTATTTTGGTACACACAGTAACTCCTACAGAGAATTGAGGAGGGTTCCCCGAACACCAGGCTTGTGTTCAAACCCACAGCCCCAGGCACAGCAACGTGGCCGTGGTCATGGCTCTTGGAGCACTACTGGTGTGAAATGAGGGCATTTGGCCCCAAATTCCGGGTTTCAAGCCCTCCCACGTGCTCTGGAGCAGCGAGTGGGGAGCCCTGCGAGAGGGGAGGGCTCCCAGGTGCGTTTCCAGCCAGGTCTGAGCCCTCCTGGTGTGCTCCAGCTCCAGCCGTGGGTCTGCCCCGAGCAGCACGATTCTTCCTGCTGGGGGTAAAGACAAACAGCACCGCGCATCCCCGGCAGCCGGGCAGATGTGAAACCCAGCCCAAGGCCGGTGGCTAACAAAACCCACCTGGTTTCCTCCCATGATGCCAGTTTTAGAACCACCTAGGTTGGAAAAAACCTTCAAGGTCACCAAGCCCAAGCACCAACCTGACTAATTCTACCTTGAAAGGGTCCAAGCCTGCAGTTTGCTCCTGCCGCCAAACCGCAGGGGAGGGACACGGCCACCCTTTCTGGGGGGGGCTAGGGCTAAATCTACGCTCCACGGTGCCCCAGCTGGCCGAGTGCCCGAAGCCGGGTCCCAGCCGCTTCTCCCACCACGGCTCTCGGCACCTCCTGCCCAGAGGCATCGCTCTGCGCCTGCCACTTTGGGGCAAGCCCCTTCCAAGCCCCCTGAGCAGCACCGGGCACTCCCTGGTATCAGTGCCACGAGCAGGGCTCCCTGCCGCGGGTTTCAGACCAGCTGGGGCTCCCCTTCCAGCTCAACCTGCAGGTCGCAGACACCCGTGAAGTTTATCTCCTCGCCAGCCCGGCCGGCGCTGATGGAGCTGCTGCCGGAGGGAGGGGACAGTCGCTGGATGCCGTCTGCCACGGGGCTTCTGCTCACGTAGGCTTCCAAGGATTTCAGGAGCTGCTTCGGTTTCTTTTTGGCGGATAACTCCAGTTCTGGAAAGGTCAAAGGAAAAGCATGCAACCAGACAGCAAGGGCTGGATGGTGGCAGGGATAGCATGGGATGCACGCTCCCAGGGTAAGGCATTCACTCAAATATTTACAGACTATTTCTTGTGTCCCAGCGTATCGCCACTATCCCCTCTGGGAAAGGCACGGTTGTTTTGCTCACAAAAGGTTGCCCTTGGGCTGAGAGCACAAAAAGCTCCTCGCCACCCCCCCGCGGAGCTCAGCACCACAGCCCCAGCACCCCCCACCGACCCCACTGAAGGGGAAGCCCAGAGCTGGCAGGGGGCAGGACCAAGCCCACTCCTGGCCACATGAGGAGGACTGTGAATTAAGAGAGCCATTAGCACAGCGCATCCCAGCAGCTCTGCTTCCATCAGGGCCGTCTCCCCCGGAGTAAACATCCCTGCTGCTTAATGCGGTGCTTGCTGCGAAAAGCACGGCAGCGGCCGCCCCGCTTACACGGCGACACCACAAACAGCACTTATGCAACCCAGCGCCGCGCTACGTCAGCGAGCCTGCAGGAATTGGGGCGAGAATGTCCCCGTTTGGTCACCCCGCCGGTGTGATTTGCCACCCCGAGGCACCACGACACGGCGTCCCTCCAAAAGCGGCGGGCGCTTGCCTGTCGGATTTGAGACTCCAAAGGTAAGGAAAAAAAACCGCAGGGTGCTAAGATAACAGCACCCCTTGTTGAAAAAGCTCTGCGTGGAGATGAGGGGCTGGGGCACCGCTCCCCATTGAGGCTGTCCCAGCAGGACGTGGTGCTCCCAGAAGAGCAGAGAGCACCAGAGCACACCAGGCTTGGTCCCTGCACCTTGGGTCACCTTCCTGGCTGGGAGAGGAGGGCGAAGCGTGGGGAAACGCACCCTTCAGGAGGAAGCCGGAGTCAGCAATGGTCTTGTGCTGCGACTTCCAGACCCGGTAGAGCTGCAGAAACGCGGCTGCGTACACGTCGTTCAGCACGGCGATGACCTGCTGCCTGCGGTTGCACTCCCTGCCCGGGGACAGGGGGGCTCAGCCGGCAGAGCTGCCACCACAGGGACCGAGCCGAGCCGCTTCTCCTCGCTTCTCCTCCTGGGCAGCCCCCGTGCAGTAGCCCCGAGGGCAGGAGGGGCACAGCACAGCCCGGCTGCGGGGCTCAGTCCTCACCTGGAGAGGCATTCCTCCCTCAGGGCCTGCAGGACGATGCGGGTGATGTTCACGGACATGATGCAGAAGGGGAAATTCTGCAAGAGAATCGGCGTTATGGCGGCTCTGCCGGACGGGCGTCCTCCCTTCCAGCACCCAGAGGTGCCTCGACACCACCAGCCCCTTGGTGCTGCGGCTGCACGGCCCCAAAGCCACGCGGTGATGGCTGCAGGCAACGGATTCACGTATCAGGACGCTGAAGTTATGGATGCAGGCTCAGATGGATGCTGTGGAGCCAGCCAGGCTTGAACTTAAAAGCAGCCAAGACTGCCCCAAACGGGAGGATGTTGGCTCTGCTCACCCTCCCTGTCCCAACCGTGCTCCTGGCAACACCACGCGGGGCCAGGCGTTCGGTCTGGTCCGTGCCAGCCCTCTGGACCCCTGAGCCCCGCCAGGGAAGCTCTGCTCTCTAAAATCTTCTTCCCAGCAAAAAAAAACAAAAAACACAACCCCTCAGCTCTCTGGGGACCACCTGCCTCGCCCGAGCAGCACGAGGAGGACTAAGCAGCCAGCAGAGCTGCTCTGGCTGGTGGGGAAATCCCTGGTGGAGCTGCAAAGCCCTGCCACAAGTGGCCCCACAGACCCCACCACCAAGCAAAGAGGCGCGGCACAAAATCAGGCCCTAGCTGTGAAGACAGGAAGGTTTCCATGCTTACCTTTCCCTGAGCTTTAGAAAGAGAGAGGTAAATACCACGGCAGAGGGTGAGCAAAGAAAGGGGGAGGACGTGCCTGTGTTTCGTGGTGGGACAGCCTGAAAATCTGCCGAGCCAGAGGCAGCGTCTGCGCGTCCATGACGAAGTGCAGCATTTGCATCAGGCCCAGCATCCCCGTGCCTCGCAGGTCGGTGCCCGGATCCGCACCTGGAAAACGAGGAGGGTGAATCGAGGCTGCTGTCAGCCCCCCTTCGTCCTGGGCTGCCTACTTCTGGCCACAGCCCTGGCACTTGGAGAGCAGAGGAACCTCAGCGACCACATCCCGGGGGAGTTTCCTGGGAATTCCCCCGTCTAACAGGCGCTGAATCGTGCCATACCCCTTTGATGTGGGCATCACAAGCATTTCTCTCCTCCCCTCATGCCGATTCCCTCGGTATCTCCAGGAATTTGGATCTTCAAGCACTACCCACCCCGCGGCAAACTTGGCTGAAGCTGCTAAACTAAATCAGGGGGATTCAAACCAGTTGTGTACTCGATGGTAAAGAGCAGAGGGAGCCGTTCACCTTCTCCCACGGGCTTTAAGCTTCATTAAATGCTGGCCTATTTAACTCAAGTCAACCAGACCGAAAACCCCGGTGAAGCCACACTTGAGAAGACAGAGGCAGCTTTAATCACGCTGTTTTCAGCACGCAGCGGAGGCTGAAAGCAACCCGCGACGCGCCCTGGGTGAGAGAGCCCTGAGCAGGGCTTGGCTGACAAACCAGCCCTCCGGGGACGCCTCATTAGCCGCAGAGATCGCTCGCTAATGAAGAGCATTAACGGCCCCAGCAAAGCGGTGACAGCAGCTACCTCTGTCCCCTCCAGCTGGACGCAGGCTGCAGGGTGCTGGGCAGCTCGTCCAGGCGCAGCCCTGCCTGTGACATCTGGCTGGGGCAGAAACTGCCAAAAACCCACTGCAAAACCACAGCAGGGGCAGCAACTGCAGGCAGGCAGAGGGAAGGAGCTCCCGAGACCCCTCCTCGCTCAGGTTTGCCCCGGGTGTCCCCCCCTCCCCGTGCCGTACCTTGGAAGCCGAGCTCCTCCCAGTGCGCGCCGTAGCGCGGGCAGCCCAGCCGGGAGCAGGTCAGCTTCTTGTAGATGGTCTGCAGGATCCTCATGTGCACCGCCTCGCTGTCATCCAGGCCACCTGGCAGAGAGGATTCCCCTCGGTGACACCGGGCACCCCTCCGCTGTCACCGCCGGGCGGGACAGGAGCCACCCCCAGCGGCAGGGGGACGCCGGAGGCCGGCTGGGAACGAGATCCCGCAGCAGGGAACGGCTGAGGGGAACATGGAGCATCCCTGCTGCGCTCACCCTGCTGTTTTTAAACCCTGGAGGGATTAAAAACAGCCCGGGAGGTGCCGAAACACAAAGCTGTGCGCTGTGTGAGTGCCGAGGGGCTGAATAACGCAAACAGCACGGGATGGATTGCTGGCTGGAAAGTTTTCCCCGCCTGGGGAACCACAACCACCACAAATCGCAGGTGGAGGAAAGGAATCTCCTCGTGCAAGTGTGCTCGGGCACCTGCCCCCCCTGCCAGGAGGCACGAGTGTGCAAATGAGTGAAGCAAAGGAGACAGGAGGCGTCCTTTGGGATAAGTGTGCGCACCATGCCGCGCCCCGGGACCCCCGAGCGGTGCTCGGTGTGACACCGGGGGGGCCCACGGGGGACAGGGGGGACACTCACACTGAGCCATGGCGAGAGCCAGGTCCCGCTCGCCCTGCAGCTGCTGCTGGAGCCGTGGGGGGCCGAAGAGGAAGCGAAGCAGAGCAGCCAGACCCTGCCTGCGCGCTGTCGCCTGGATCTTCTTCTGCGGAGAGGAAAAAAGGCAAAAAAATGATGAGGGGGGAGCGGTCCCGTGGGAGTTGGGGGGGGGAGAGACAGCGGTGGGCAGAGCAGGAAGGGAGGGATCGCAGAGAGCTGAGCAGAAGGGTGGGAGCGAGGGGAAAGAGGAGCAGGAGGCGAGGGGAGAGCACGAGGCGGGGAACAGGGCGACGAGGCAGGACCCGCAGCCCCGCAGCCTCCCCGCGCCCCCTCTCCTCCTCCCGGAGCCGGCCCCGGGGAGCTGGGGGCCGCGTCCCGCACGCACCCTGCAGGCGGAGAGGTCGGCGGTCTGGAAGTGCTGCAGAGCCTCGTTGAAGGAGATGAGGGGCACGGCACCGGACTTCCCCGGCAGCCCTGCAGGGAGTCCCGGAGCAGCGTCAGCCCCCCCGGCCTCGAAATCAGCGCCGGAGCTGCCTCCTGCCCGACCCCCCCCCACCCACCCCAGGCATTTTTGGGGTACCTGGCTGGATCTCCTCCAGCGCCTCCCATTCCTCCCGCGCTCTCTGCGCCTCCTCGCTGCTCTCTGCCGAGGGAAGCGGGCGCTGGAGGTGAGAAGTGGGGAGGGCCGGGGGGGGGCTCCCTGCCGCCTGCCCCCCGCACCCCACACCGCAGCCCCCCGGCCCTTGGCAGAGCCCAAGCCGGGTCCCGGGGGCTCTGCAGCTCCCCGGGGTTTCCACCACGGGAAGGGAGCAGACGAAGCAGGGAGGGTGGGGGGCAGCTTACCGGTGCCCCCCCCGAACGCCTGCAGGAGGCTGGGCTGCGTCGGAGCCGTGATCTAAGCCGGGAAAGAGACGCAGCGCTCAGCGGGGCCGCCCCGAGCCCCCCGCCGCCCCCAAGCCCCCCGCCGCTCACCCCTGACACCCCGGGGGCTGGCGGGGACAGCGGGGGCTCCTCGGGCGGCGCCGGGGGGGCGCTCATGGCCTGCGGGGGGAAGGTGGCGCCGGTCAGAGGGGGGCACGGGGGACCCCAAAGATCCCCAATGAGCCCCCCAGGGGTCCCCAATGAGCCCCCCAAGGGGGACCCCCAAAGGAGTCCCCAATGAGCCCCCCAAGGGGGTCCTCGAGGTCCCCACTGAGCCTCCCAAGGATCCCACTGAGCCCCCAAAGGTGGGTCCCCAGGGGTCCCCAATGGACCCCCCAAAGGGTTCCCCCCAAGAGGGTTCCCATGAGCCCCCCGAGGGGGTCCTGAAGGGGGTCCCCAGGGTCCCCACTGAGCCTCCCAAGGTTCTCAGTGAGCCCCCTAAGGGGATGCCCCAAGGGAGCCCCAAAAAGAGGTCCCCGAGGGTCCCCAATGAACCCAAAGGGGGTCCCCCCAGGGTGGTCCCCAATGAGCCCCCCCAGGTCCCCAAAGGGCCCCCCCAGGTCCCCATTAACCCCCTAAGGGGGTCCCACACGGGGGGGCGTCCCCGAGGGTCCCCAGTGAGCCCCCCAGAGGGGTCCCCAATGATCCCCAGGGGTCCCCACGGAGCCCCCCAAGGCCCCCAATGGAGCCCCAAGGGGGTCCCCAGTGCCCCCCCACTGCCCCCCCGTGAGCCCCCAATGCCCCCCTGGGGTCCCCCCGAGCCCCCCCTCGCCCCGCCCGGCCCCGTGGCCCCGCCCCCTGACCCCTGCCCCGCCCCCCCGGCAGCCCCCTGCCCCCCGCCCCCCACCGCCCCCTGCCCCCTCGCCCACCGGAAGCGGCGGCGGGGCCGCGGGGCGCAGCCAGCTCCGGCGGGGCGCAGTGCGCAGGCGCGGCCGCGCTGCCTGCCGGGAGCTGCAGTCCGCTAAGGGGGGGAGGGAGGCGGGAGGGGCGGGGCGGGGGACTACAGCACCCGGCATGCACCGCGCGCGCGGGGAGGGAGGGGGGTGAGCATGGAGTGGGCGTGGCCTTGGCGGGGTGTGGGCGTGGCCTGGTCGGACGTGGGCGGGGCGTAGGGCAGGAGTGGGCGGGGTTTAGTGGGGAGTGGGCGGAGTTATGCAGGGAGTGGGCGGGGTTATGTAGGGTGAGTGGGCGTGGCCTGGCCGGGAGTGGGCGTGGCTCGGCGGGGGCGCGCCGGCGGCGGGGGCGCGCTGCATTCGGGCGCTGCGCTATGGGGCCGTGCGCGCTGCTCGCCTTCGGCCTCCTCCTCCTCCTCCTCCTCGCCCTGCTCCTCTGGGGCTGCTCCCGCGGCCCCAACCCCTTCGCCGCTGACGCCCGGCGCCCGCCGGCCCCGCTGGTCACCGACAAGGCTGCCCGGAGGGCGGTGCTGAAGGCAGGTAGGGACCGGAGCCCCGGCCCCCTGCTCCCCCCGGGGTGTCCCGGGATGAGGCCGGACCCCCGGACCCCCGGACCCACAGCCCCGGGATGTCCCAGGATCCCCATCCCCCGGGACCCCCATCCCTGGGGTGTACCGGGACCCACATCTGCCGGGTGCCCCATTCCTGGGATGCCCCGGGACCCCCATCCCCTGGGATCCCCATCCCTGGGATGTCACAGAACCCCCATCCCCCAGGACCCCCATCCCCCAGGACCCCCATCCCCCAGGACCCCTGTCGCAGGGATGTCCCAGGACCCTCATCTCCCGGTCACCCTGTTCCCGGGATGCCCTGGGAACCCCATCCTCAGCATGTCCCGGGACCCCCAGGACCCCCATTCCCCAGGACCCCCATCCCCCGGGTGCCTGTGCCCAGGATGCTGCAGACCCCCCACCCCCTGGGACCCCCATCCCCCAGATGCCCCATCCTCAGGATGTCCCAGGACCCCCACCCCTGGGACCCCCATCTCCGGGACACCCCTTGCCCTCCTCAAGTGCCCCATCCCCGCGGCATCACCCCCCATGGCCATTTCGGGAGCCCCTGCTGAGGACCCCGCTCCCGCAGTTTTCTCGGCAGACAAAGTCCCCGCGGGGCTGGATGCCATCGTCATCGGCAGCGGCATCGGGGGCCTGGCGGCGGCCGTGCTGCTGGCCAAGGCCGGCCGGCGGGTGCTGGTGCTGGAGCAGCACGGCAAGCTGGGGGGCTGCTGCCACACCTTCAGCGAGAAAGGCTTCGAGTTCGACGCCGGTAAGCGCGGGCACGGAGAGGGTGATGCTCGTACGGGGTGGGAACCAGCCCAGGACCCAAAGCCCTTGGGGGGGAACCCGGGGACGCTGCCCCCACGCAGGGAATTGGGATCGCGGCGTCATCCCCAGCACGCACCCAGCGCTTTGCTGGGATGAGTGGTGGCGTCTCGTAGATGTGCCCTCACCCAAAATTTCCCCTGCTGGAAGAGGGCATGGGCACGGTGCTGCCGTCGCGACGCTGCTATCGCGACATGCCCTGTGGCTGTGACAGCCACGTCCCTGTGGCACCCCCTGTGTGGGCAGGTCCCCGCAGCACGCTGCTTCCAGCGAGACAAAGTCAAGCTCCATGCGTCCCGCAGCGTGCCCAGGATTAATTATTGACAGCAGCGTGGCGAGGAGGGGAAGTTTATGTCAATGTGTATCAGAGCTCCTGAAAAATCAGCCAAAAATGCTGCGTTGAGGGTTTCCTTTTGAACGTGAGCTCTGCCTCAGCAGGGGGAGGCTGTGGGCACCCTGCTGAGCCCGGAGGAGCCGGGAACTTCCCAGGGATGTGGTGCGAGGAGAATAAACCCCAAAATACACAGAATAAACCCCAAATCCCCCCCCCAAGCCCCCCGCCGTGGCTTCTTGCAGGGATCCACTACGTGGGGCAGATGCACGAGGGCAGCATGACGCGCTTCATCGTGGACCAGCTGACGGAGGGGCAGCTCGAGTGGGTGCCCATGCCGGCCGCCTACGATGCCGTGGTGCTGGGGGAGCCCAGGCGCAGCAGGGCGCACCGCGTCCTCGCAGGGGATAAGGAATACTTCAACGCCTTGAGGGAGCGCTTCCCCGGAGAAACAGCTGCCATCGATAAGTTCGAGCAGCTCACGAAGGTACCGGGGGCACGGGCTCGGTCACATTCCCTCCGCTCACGGGGCTGTGGTTGGAGCTTTTGGCTCCGGTTCCTTGCTCTGGGTTCACGTGAGGGAAAGGAAATTCTTCCCCCTGGCTGCCCTGGGGACAGCTTTTTGGCAACCACACAGCACGGTGGTGTTGCACAACCTGCCTCCGCGCCATCCCAAACACTTCGGGAGAAAAACCTCAAAATCTCCATTTTGTACCCCAAAAGCCCTGCGTCGCACACAGAGCTTTTAACCCATCCACGGACACCCTGCACCTGCTCAGAGCGGGGCGCGAGCAGTGAAAGAAAGGAGAAAAACCCACTCCGTGCCCAGCCCCTGGTTGTTGGCAGTCCTGGCGGCCTCCCCTGGCACGGGGAGGGTCGGGGGCGCGCTGTGACAGCCCCCCTCTCTCGCAGAGCGTCACCAGAGGGATGAATGCCATCGGCGTCCTGAAGCTGCTGCCCCTGCCGCTGGCCCGGCTGCTGTGCCGCTCGGGGCTGCTGCCCTGGCTCAGCCCCTTCTGCCGGATGGCTTCGCGCAGCCTCAAGGACGTGGTCGACGGCCTCACCGCCAACGCCGAGCTCCGCGCCATCCTCAGCTACATCTTCCCCACCTATGGTAGGGCTCCGTGAGGCTGGGACACCCAGCAGGGGTGAAGTTAGACCCTCCAGAACAAAACCAACCCGCCCGAAATGCCGCTCTGCTTTGCTTTTTGGATGTGTGCCAGGCAGATCCCAGCTCCCCGCGCTTGGCTTCGCATCGCGTCGCTGCTGCTGGACCGCCCGGAGCCCTCGGTGCCATCCTCAGCGCTGTCACAGCGTGTCCCTGCCCGCTGTCCCCTGCTCACCTTCGTCCCCAGGGCTGTGGCTTTTCCTCCGCAACCTTTGGCTTCCCAGCAGGAATCCTGCACGCGAGGGAGCAGCCGTCCTGCGCTAACCTCCTGCTTGCCTCTGTGCTGAACCCTCCTGCTGCCCCGAACCTTCCTCCTGCCTCCAAGCTCCCTCCTGCCCTGCTCCCCGGGGGCAGCTGGAGCTCGGTGGAGGCTTGCAGGAGATGCGGAGCTGCCAGCCCCAGGCTCCAGCACCCTCCCTGCGCCTCGTAGGGCCCTCGGTTCTCTTCCTCTCAGCAGCCAGCCAACGCTTGCCTCATCCTAAAACCTTTGGGATAAAGCTGCAAACCCAAGAAACCCCCAATTTGGTGAGAACGCCCCTTGCGCTCGCCCTTTTTCCAGGCGTGCTCCCCTCGAAGGCCAGCTTCTCCATGCACAGCATCCTGGTGAACCACTACCTCCGCGGCGCCTGGTACCCCAAAGGGGGGGCCGGGGAAATCGCCTTTCACACCATCCCCATCATCCAGAGGGCTGGGGGCAACGTGCTGGGCAGGGCGCCGGTGCAGAGCATCCTGCTGGATTCCCAGGGCAAAGCCTGCGGTGAGCGATGGGACGGGGCCGGACGGGATGGGGGGGACACGGCTTCCCCCCCCCGTGCCTTTAACCGGAGCCTTCCTCCCCTCCTCGCCTCTCCCCTCCAGGCGTGACCGTCAAGAAGGGGCAGGAACTGGTGAAGATCTTCGCTCCCACCATCATTTCGGACGCTGGGTTATTTAACACCTACGAACGGCTCCTGCCGGCGGAGGCGCGGGCTCTGCCTGGTAAAACGCGACGGGAGCAGCCCCGCGGGGGGGGACGAGAGCTGGGTTTGATTGGGATTAGCGCAGGAATCCCCTCTCAGCCACAGCATCCACATCAGGGAGCCGCTTTGTAATTCTTTGCTAGAGGAATTGCTGGTACCAGCAAAACCCAGCGGCAAGCCCAAATCCCTTTGCAGGGGCTTAATCGAGTCAAATTGGCTTGCTGGAGCTGGCACTGCTGCTTGCTGCAAAAAACGTGACACAGTGCCCAGGACTGGTGAAACTCTGCTCCAAGCTGAGCTCAGCAATGCCACCAAATTCCCTGCTGTCTCGGTGGGAGCTTTCTGGACAGTGATATTGAACAAGTGTTCAGTGTTTGCAGAGCGGGAGCACGGCTGAGTCACAAAAAGTAGTTAAATGCACCGAAAGCTCATGCCAGGGTTACCCTAAAACCTCCCCAATGTGACACGACGGCTCTGCTGCCGTCTGTACAGCTGCCAGCTGCCCTCCTGCCCTCGGGGACTGGAGGACATCAGTTTTGCAAGCCGACACAACCAAGGGGAGCAACGCAGATTTGAGAGGGGCTTCCTCTAGGAAAGGAGAAGCTGCCGTTTCCCGTAGCTGAGCAGCCAGGAAAATACTAATTTTCCACTTCTTTCCCCCGTATCGCAGCGATCCAGGCCCAGCTTGGCATGGTGAAGCACGGCGAGGCGGGTTTCAGCGTTTTCGTAGGTCTTACGGGCTCGAGCCAAGAGCTGGGGCTGGAAGCCACGAACTACTTCGTCTACCCAGGAAATAACCTGGATGAAATGTACGTGCGCCTCCATCTCCGACACGCTTCGCTGAGCGTTAAGGAGATAAATTCCTGGGTGGTGGCTCAGCAAATGCTCAGAGTGCTCTCGGCAGATCCTCGCCGCGCGGTGATGTGGCTCTGGCAGGTGTTTGCAGCAAGGCTTGCACAAACCCAGCCCCAACCCCTGCGTCTCTCTGCAGAATGAAGCGGTACCTGACTTCGTCCCGAGACGAGGCCACCAAGAGCATCCCCTTCCTCTTTGTCACCTGCCCCTCGGCCAAGGACCCCACGTGGGAGATGAGGCACCCAGGTGCGGGCTGAAGCTGGGCAGCGACTCGAAACCTCTCACTGGATTAGGTTCATTTGCCGGCTGTGGATGAGGAGTTTGCCCTAAAGCAGCCAAATAATGCCCCGGGGTTTTGCAAACTGGGGGGTGCGAGTTGGCTTTGTTCAGGGAGGGGTCTGTTCAGGAGCTTGCTCTGTGACGAGGGGAAAGGGAGGAGAGGCTCCGAGGACGTGGGGCCACAGCTACCTGGACACGTCCCAGACGTTCATGGGATTATTTGGGGCTGGGTTGGTGGAGGTGAAGTGGGGGCAGCGAGGGGGCAGAGGGGGGCAAACGCCAGCCTTGTCCTGCTGCAGGTAAATCCACGCTGGCCATCGTGACCTTTGCCAAATACGAGTGGTTTGAGGAGTGGAAGGACGAGCCGGTCACCAAACGGGGAGATGCTTACGAGGACCTGAAGAAGACCTTTGTGGACGCCGTCATGGAGGTTGTCTTCAAACTCTACCCCAACATTGAGGACAAGGTGAGGAAATAAAGGGTTCACGGGTCCTCCGCTTCCTCTCCTGAGTCCCTGCTGGGTCCTGGGTGGCACCAGCCTGTTCAGCTGCCTCCTGACTACACGTGGTGCAGGGGGGCTGGCTGCTGTCCTCCGGGACCACGCAGTGCCCAAACTTGGCCACGAACACCACCCAGGGGCTGCAGGGAGCCTCGTCCCAGCCCGTCCCCCATGTCCGGGGGCACCAGACCCCCTTTGCCATCGCGCCTGCCCTTGTCCCCTGCAGATCGAGTACATCTCTGGGGGGTCGCCCCTCACCAACCAGCACTACATCGCCAGCCCCCGGGGGGAGATCTACGGCATCGACCACGGCACCGCCCGCATGCAAGCCGAAGCCATAGCCACCATGCGGCCACAGACGGCTGTCCCCAACCTCTACCTGACAGGTACCACAGCCCCGTCCTCGGGCGAGGACGTCCCCAGGGAATTGGGGTGGGAGGACAGAAATCTTCAGTCCCGCAGTGGCACGAAGGGATGAGCCACCTCCGTGCCGTGGGGTGCTGCAAGAGCTGCTGGCACGCACCAAAGCGCATCGCCGCCACGTGGCCCCAAGGGCAGGAGGAAAGGGCCGGGTGTTCCCCAGCTCTGGGACATGGACTCCCTGCCCGGCGCTGGTTTGTTACTGCTGGGCAGGATGAAGCCCATTCCTGCTCTCTTCCAGGGCAGGACGTCTCCATCTGTGGCTTTATGGGAGCCCTGCACGGAGCCCTCTTCTGCGCCGGTGCCGTCCTCAACCGCAACCTCTACCTGGACGTGTTAAGGCTGAGGAAGCGCACGCGGGCCCCCACCAACAACTACAAGAAGAGAGATTGAGGCCTGGCGTCCCACCAGTGCCCTCTTCCCCTCCCAGCCTGGCAAATCACCCCTGCACCACGGCTCAGTGGTGGCTTTTGGCATAGGTAGCGCATCCTCCTCTCACGCAGCTCCCAAGGATGGAAGGCCAGGAGGGAGCTGTTGCTGGCTTGCCTCGGGTCCCGTCCAGCTGGAGCACACCTCCTTCCACCACAACGCACACCACCACCCCATCCCGGCTGCCCTTTTGAGGGCAAATCCTTTTTTCCCAGCACTGGGGACACCAAGAGCTGACCCGGGCAGTGTTGGCCAGGGGCAAAGTTGCAGCACTCCCCAAAAATGGGGTGCGCCAGGAGGCAGAGCCCAGCAGCTGCCACCAGCAGCACCCTGCACAAACCTGCCCAGGCAGCATCAGGCCCGCTTGCTGTCAGTCCCTGGGTGGCTGATGGCTGCATCGAAGCGAGGGCAATTCGCCCCAGGCCAGGCCAAGCCCCATCGCTGCGTGTTAACGAAGGCACCTCGGGAAGGAGCCTGCTCTTGGCTCCAGCCCTCGTCCTGCAGCCTGGCAGCAGCAGCTTGCTGCCTGTGGAGTTCAGCGGGTCAGCAGCGCAGGCGTTGTTGCACGCCCAGGTGGATTGATTCAAGCTGGATTTGTTACCGAGGAGCCACGGCACGCGGTGCTCCCCAGCCCTATGGGGCATCCCACGACGTGCCTTGCTGTGGTGGTGGCGCACGCTGCGATCCCACAGCCCTCGGTCCGGTGATGCTGCAGCCCTGGGTGCTGCTCATCACCAGGCGTGTGATGGTGCAAATCCCCCCTCCTTTAGAAGTAGCAAAAAGCCCGGCCTGTCTGCGGGCCGGGAGAAGCTTGGGCACACGATCAAAGCCCCCTCCTACCACCGCGGTGCTGGGAAGGGAAGCACGAGACCAAATAAAAAAGCCTCGTGATGTGCTCGGTGCCTCGTGATGTGGGAGCAGCGGGGCTGGGGTTAGGGTGGCGTGAGGGGGCTGCTCGCATCCCCCAGGGGATGCAGAAAGGGCTGAGCAGAAACATCCCCGTGCTCCAAAAACCCCCCAGCTGGGTGGCAGAGAGCAATGAGCCTGGTGGGCACTCAGGGCTCCCCAGCACCCTGGGCAAGCTGGGGAAGGAGAGAGCTGTGCTCCTGAGGAGGGGGGCAAACCCCATCCTTGGGGGCTGCCCTGCACCAGCACGGCCTGCTTATGGGGACAATAAAATAACGGGGCACCGTAAGGGGGTGTCCCCAGCACCTGGTGCCCAGCTGACGAACGCCTCCCCGTGCCAGCAGGGTTGGCCAGAGCCGTGCCAGCTGAGCAGCCCGGCTTCGTGGACTTCAGCCCCCAGTTAAAGTCCTGCTGGGGGCCACGGGGGAGCTGGAGGGGACGGTTTTCCAGCAGCCTGCTGGGGAGCAGGAACCAGATGGATTTGGGGGGACTGGAATGAGGGAGATGCAAACTCCATGTGGGAAAAGCAGGGGAGGGGTTCCCACAGCACAGGCATTTCTCTTCCGCTTCCCATGCAGGGAGGTGAGGGTGAGCATCCCCCTGCCCTTGTCAATGACCCCCTTGGACCAAAATACTCTTTTTTTGTTGTTGTTTTGTTTTGTTTTTCCCCCTCCCTGCATGCCCCAGGCTGAGCAGTGCTCCGCAAGCCCAGTGGCAAACTGTGGCCATCTCCTGCCCCAGTGACTCATGCCCAGGTGACAGCTGGCAGGTGACAGGGCGCTGCTCCTGCCTTGCCCTCCTCCTTCAGCCCATGCTGACGCTGAATCGAAGGAGCACTCGGGGCTCAGCCTCCAGCCCGAGCTCCCCGTTGGAGCCGTGGGGGTTTAGAGGCCACTAATGCTCCCGAGGAGATGCCCCAGCGCGGCGCAGGCCAGGCAAAGCCGGGCTCTCATCATCGTCAACACCGATTTCTGCAGCAGTGCCGGCGATGTGGTGCTCGGGACCCGGAGGGGAGCCAAGAGGGAAGCGGAGAAGCTTTCGGAGGCACTCTCAGAGCTCAACTACAAGGTGAAGCTGATGCACAACAGCACGGCCAAAGAGATGGAAGACCTTTACCAGCAAGGTACGCGCCCCCGCAGCACCACCACGCTCCCCAGAGCCCAGCCAGCTCCCAGTTCCCACCTCTGCCTCTACCCAGCTTGGTCTGAGCACCCTGTGACAGCCCGAGTCGCTGCTCAGCGGCAGCTGGGGACTCTCCCCAGAGCCAGACCCAGGCCCTTTAGGGTCACCCCACCATGGGGCTCAGATTTGGGTAGGCAGCGGAGTGCCCAGCACCCTGCAGCCCCAAATTGGGCCACGGCTGGCGGGGCTGAGGTTCGGCTGTGCCCCCGCAGAGTGCAGCCGCGAGCACGGGGAATTCTTTGTGAGCATCATCTCCAGCCACGGGGAGGAGGGGGCCGTATTTGGCTCTGACTGCAAGCCGCTTCAGCTGACCCGGATCTTCCGAATTTTGTCACCGCAGAATTGCCCGGTGCTCGCCGAAAGACCTAAAGTCTTCTTTATCCAGGTAACGCAGCTGCTGGGGATAACTTGATCCCTTTTGGCTCAGTTTCTGCAGAGTTAGACTGGCGCTAGCACGAGCTGGCAGCGTGTGGTTGGTTTAACTGTGGGCTTTGCTACCCCTGCGCGAGCTCGGTCTCTTCTTCACGCCCTTTCCCCCCACACAACCCACCGCCCCTCTGTTTTTCATGCTGATTTTGGGGTCTCCCTGCTCACTGCACTATCCCCCCCAGACGCCACCAGGGTGTGGATAAATCGGTAAGAGTTGCCTTCAGATTTTATCACCGTGCCCCCCTCCTGCAGTGGGGCTCTGAGAAGCCCAGAAGGGGCTTGGCGGTGCGGAGGAAAATCCCCCACACCCGGTCCCCTGGGGAATGGGAGCGTGCCCTGGCAGGACAGTGCTGGGAGCTGCACCCGATGGGCTCAGGGAGGATTAGGCTAGCTCCCTGAGCAAACAAACAGTCTGGCAACCTACAACCTCGATTGATACCAGCTCTGCTGTTCAAATATGCAAATACGCAGAAATCTTCACCTGAAAGCAAGTGGAGATTACTCACGTCACTCGCTTCCTCCTGAACAAAGGGCTCAGCCACCGTGCAGGGCACCCTTGGCACCACTGTGACTCCCGGTGGCCTTCACCCACCTCTCGTTCAGTGCAGCTCCTTTGTGGGCAGCTCCGGGGGCCACGCGAGGATTTACCGCTGGGGTTTTGGTGCACAAGGGGCTGTGATGGGTCCTCAGGGCGAACTCGGTGGTGCTGGTCCTCCTCCAGCCTTCCCAAAATCCCATCCCTGGGAGAAAGCAACGAGAACCACACAGAACTAGTTACCACACACAAAACGTTGCACTCCAGGGGGAGTCTGCCGGCGCTTTCTGAGCAGACTTGGGGGGCTCCAGGTGTATTCCTGGAGCCCCAAAGGGAACCAGGCTCACGTAGGGAAGAGAGGAGGCAGCACAGCTCAATGAGGAAGGGAGGCTCAGAAAAGCTGAGCTTGGGGCTGGATGGACGGGAAGGGAAGAGCCTGGAGAGGAGCCACGTGGGGCCTGGGGAGCGGATGGGGTGCAGGCTTCTCCTGGGGGTGCTGCAGGTCCGAAGGGGGCACCCCAAAGACCCCAGAAGCTCTCTGGGAGCAGAGCAGGGGAAGCCAACAGCCGTGGCTCTGCCCGCAGGCCTGCCGGGGGGGGCAGCTGGACCAGGGGGTGTTTTTGGAGACTGACAGCGGGCAGCCGGAGCCGTGCAGCTTCTCGGAGTACCTCCGCATCCCTCCCAACACCGCCGTCATGTTCGCCTGCAGCCCGGGTAAGGAAACGCTTCGTGAGCCAACACCTGGAGGAAACGCGGCCCGGTCCAACGCATCTCCCCTTCCTCTGCAGGCTACGGAGCCTTCCTGAACCCCTCGGGATCCAGCTTCCTGCAGGCGCTGCTCAGGGCGCTGGACGGGGAGGAGCGGGGCCTGGCCCTCAGCCGCCTGGCCACCCGGCTCAACGGGGACGTGGCCCTGCGCTTCCAGGCCCGGGGCACCTTCGAGGGCTGCAAGCAGATGCCCTGCTTCGTCACCAACCTGCTGCAGGAGGTCTTCCCCTTCTCGGCCATGTCTGAGAGCCGCCAGCTCCTTCCCTGCCCTGCTCTGCAGGGAGGGCCGGAGGAGGAAGAGCGGCAGCCTGGTTGCAAGAAGTCCCAGGCTATGTAGTGGGGTGGAGAAAAAAGGAGAAGTTGTGGGAAAACCAGCAGAAAACCCCTCAGAGAAGGTGACCTGGGGTGTGCCAGAACTGCCTGGGGGAGCAGCACCAGGAAGATCTGGGGCAGATCCTTCCCATGTTGGTCTGAGAGCAGAGCCACCCGAATGAAGCCCGTGATGGCAGCCCCCAGCCCCAGCAGGGCTCTCGGACCTGCTCAGCCCCCGATCCTCTGCCACGGAACAGCTCCAGCATCGTGAACATAATCTTATCTCAGTGAACCCGCACAGGCCATGGGACACAGGCCTTTTCCTTACAGAGGCTTTTCCTCTGATGTTTACCTGCCCTACCCACAATGAAAACACTGCTGCTGTGGTGTAAAGATCACCCCCAGCTCGAGCTGTTTGTTCATGAGGCTGCTTCTTGTTTAAGGCTTTAAAAAATGAGGAGGGTGCTCAGCGGGACTTGCAGGCTGGCGGGTTAACTTGGGATGGGGGTCGGGGTGTGGGTTTGGGAGCTTTGCTCAAAGCAGGGCTCAGTTCACAAGCAAGAACTGGCTCTTTGCAAGCCTCCTGTTCCACGGGATGCACACGGGGTGGGCTGGGACCCCCATGGGACCGAGGTATTTGCTCAGCCTGCTCCTCCTGCACACCCCGGCGTGTCTGAGGCCCTACAGCAGGCAGGGGATGCCCCCACCCGTGCCCCAGGGCTGAGCAGGTTTGTGCTCACACCTTAACTCGTTAACTCCGTGCCGCCTCCACCCGAGGGCCTCTCACAGAAAACCTGGCTGTATCAGTATTTCTCAGCTTAGCCCCGCATAACTGGGCTCCAGTAAACAGAGCCCTGCCCAGCTCGCAGATAATTTGTGTTTCGCTGAGTGTTTTGCCCTTTCCTGGACTTTGAGACCTCCGTGGGCGTGCGGTGCTGCTGCCCCGACGCAACCCCACGCTCAGCACTCACCTGGGTCCCCACATCACCGCCTCACCTCGAGGGACCTGCTGGGTTGCTGCTTCCCTCTACCTGTAGGAACAAAATAGTTTTGAGGCCCTTATGGCAACCCCAAATCAGGCTGGAACTGAGCAAGGGGGTTGAGGAGTTGTTAGAGGAGCATAATCCTTATTTCTTTGGGACATCACCCTGAGGACGCCCAGCAGAACAGCACTGATCTCCTCCTAGTAGGCTCAGGAGGGCGCTCCGCCTGACAGCCCACCATGCGACCAAACAGAATTTTTAATTTCCTGCTTTCAGCCTTTTCTTTAATTCTCTCAGCCATGTGGTCAGGTGGGGGGAAAAAAAAGGCAAAAAAAAGCAGCCCTCCCTTTTCCTCCAGCCTTTCCCTTGCACACACTGCGGGGTCAGCCAAGCCGGAGGCGAGCGTAGCAGGGCGGATTTTCACCTTTCACAGAAAAAGTGGAAGAAAGGGGAAAGTTTCTTCCATGTGCTGCAGGAAGCAGCTGCAAGCGCTGCTCAGAGGTGCCCTCAGCATCAGCAGCTCAGGCCAGTGGCAGCTTCTTCCCCCGTTCCAGCCTGGTCACCAGCAGCACCCTGCACAGCCTGGCCCTCCTCCCATGGGCTCCCTCTTTCCCAGTCTGTCCCAGTCCATTCCAGTTTCAGCAGCTGCGCTGGGTCCTGCTCAAGGAGCCTCCCTGTGGGAGAAGGAGGGAATGCAACAGGACAAATCTAAAAGCATCGCTACTGCAGCCTCAGCTCCTCGCTAACCCCACAGCCTGAAGAGGGAAGCAAGTCCCGGGCAGGGAAGTGCCTGCTGATCGCGAAGCCGATCGTGAAACCGCCTGGAAACTTCTCACCCCGGCCGGCAGCTGAAGGCTGTCTCGGCTCGTTCCGGCTGTAGGGTGCTTGGTGACACGCTGTCTGAGTTTACCTGTGCGAATCGAGGCTCCCCCACAAAGCCCGGAACATAAATCACAGCTCAAAGACTTTGTGGGTTTTCTACAGCTTTTTTTTTTTTTCAAAAGGAGGAACTAACCTGCACTGTCGCTGCCAGGTTTCAAAGATCAGGCAAATAACGCAAGCACCAAAAAAATCAGAGGTGAAAACAGCGTATTTTTGAAATCATTTATTGACTTTACCACACAGAAAAAAGTACAAAGAAATATAAAAATTCTGATCCTTCAAAGCAAGGTGCGTTGCACTGCAGCAGAAAACAAACCATTTGCTGATTCAACCTGGCAAGGCAGCCGGCCTAACAGGAACATTTGGCAAAAATTACGTACCGACAGATACCATCCATTGGAAAACGTCTTGTGTCCAAAGGGAAAAGGTTTCACGCACCTTGACCAGTTTGAAACACATTGCATAAACTCAAATCCCATTTTAAAATTAAACAAAAACAGAAATCAACAGAAGTCATTCCCAGAGGTTTCACGCCGTTGCGTTACGGAGGCTGCTGCCAGGAGCAGGGCACCTGGGAGCTGCTGGGTAGGAGGAGGCTGAGCTGCGAGCCCCCCACCGCCACGTGAGCTCTGCCGGCCAAGGCTCCTGCCCTCGGTGCTGGCTCGGCCTCTCGGCGCCTTCCTGCTTTGCTGGAGCCACCAAGCAAGGTGACAGCTCCGGCAGAGACGTGAGGTTTGATCTCAGCAACCTGGTAAAAAGCTCGTGCTGCTCTGCTCGGCACAACCTGGCAGTGGAACAGCGATCGGGACACTTGAGGTCCTGCTATCAGAAGCTTCAGCTTGCTATCAACAGCCCAGTGCTCTCAGCAGGGGTGGGATTTCCACCAGAACTTGGAGTGAGAGAGGACTGAAAGACATCTGAAAAAACTCGTGGGATATAAAAGCAAGCAGGTTGTAAAAAAGCCTTTGTAAACTATTCTTCAATGTTTGTTTTTTTTTTAAAAAAAAAAAACAGGACAAAGCAGGAGCACAGCACAAACTCTAAGACTTCAGGAAGGAGCAGCTCAGATGCATGTGGTATTTCACGTCTTAGCAGACAGTTTCCCCCCACTGGCAGCAGACAGCAGCCCCCAGCTCCCACCCCGCAGCCTGTCCGTACACCGGCCACCCGACAGCGCGCCTGACTTTGCAGTCATCATCAGAAACAGCGACGCCTTGTTGCGCGAGCTCCCCCCCCTCCCAGACAGAGCATTTCCCTCCAGGGTTATGTTCCCAGACTTGTTTTCCTTTCTCTTCCCCCCACCTCACGCTCCCACTCACCAAAATAGCCTCTACGAGTACTTTTAGCATCAGAAGTTTACTACAAAAACCTTGGGAGCTATTTAAAGTCAAGAGGGACCTTCTCCCACTCGCCCTTTGTGCTGACAGCTAGGAAAAAAAAAAGAAAAAAGAAAAAAAAAAAGGATTTTTCTCTTAAGTGGGTCAAGCTGTGCACATAGCCCCCAGATCCCCTCTTATAAGAGGAATGAACCACAACAGAATACAGCTGCAGCTTTCATCTCCAGGCAAGGAAACTGGGCCCCTGTCAGCGTGACTACCTTTAGCGACCGCAGGCAGATCACCAATCGCCCGCAACCTCGGGAGGCTGCAGGAGGGCAGGCCTCGCGCCACGAGGCGCTCCTGTGGCCAGCGGAAGGGAAATCAGCCCCCGAGCTTGGCAGCTCAAATGGGGACAGGATTCTTCCTGTGCAGTCAGCCAGCAAGGGGATGACTCACCTACGGTCGGCAAGAGCTTTGGGCGTGGAAGCTTACCCGTGTGAAGAGCTCTGGATGCGTCATGCCGTTCTTTTTCCTGCCCACATCGGGGAAAAAAGCACAAAATAACAAGCTGGGCAGGCACTTCGCATGGTCTCCCAAAATGCCCTGTCTCAAACAAACATCTTTGGAGTAGAGCTACCAAAATAAGAACAGCGTCATAGCTCTAACTCAGCAATCAACATGTTTTGCAGCCTGAAATACAACTGGTACATCCCCGGCCCTGGTTTAAGTGCTCCACAGTGATACCGAGGCAATCAGTGCCAAGCAGCTGGCCGTGTGTACATTCAACGACACAAAACCTCTCACAGCAGGGGCTGGCAGAGGTGTGTGAGCAGCCACGATCCCTCCCACGGGCAGGGCACCTGGCTCAGGAGATGCCTCCACGCAGGAGCCACGTGGAGGCAGCGCGCCCTGCCTCGGGCTGCGACGGCTTTGGAGGTGGTGCTGTGAGCCACGAGGCGCCCACGGATGAGCAGTCCCAGGATCGGCAGCTTCCTCACCCCTCAGTGAGCCACACTTCTTCAGCAGGAACTGACCCAAGGACTTGGGATCAACACGGAGGCTCGCTCAGCGCCGCAGAGAAGAGCGTTGAACGTTCACGGGCCTCAGCGCCGCGTTTCTGAGGAAGGGGGCTGAAGGACTGAGGTTTCTCTCACCCCAAACGCTGCTGGATTACCGCACACTCCACGTTACCACACAACGACATCCTACAGCAGGGAGGAAATCAGCCTCTCAGGTCTGCTGTAACTTCACTGCAGCGATTAGGCGCGGGGCTCTGTAAGCCTGAGCAGCCCCTTCACAGCATCCAACTGAATGTCATCAGTGCAAGCACCCCAGCCACGGGGACTGCGAGGGAACGACCCGTGTGGAGGAAGTTTAAGCTACGGCCAAAGGGCCAGGGACAGCCCCGGCACCTCCCAGGATGCGCATTACAGGGAGAACCTAGGTGTCAGACTGACATTGTCTTCATCACAGAGAGAAAGAAAGCAGGAAAATCAGATCAGGGTCCTTGGCGGATAATTTCCAAGCTAGTGCAATCAGCCTCGCTCCGAACCTGAGCATCCAAATAGAAAGGACAGAGGAAGAGATCTCTGTGCTGGTTCCGAAGGCAGCTCTATGACTCAGAGGAGACAACCACATGGCTCATTTCGCAGGCAGACTTTTTTCAAGAGCAGACGTAGGTACAGTAGATGGCCAATTCCACTTCATTTGGACGCAGGAGTTCTGCCAGGTGCTGGGAGCTGGCTTTTTGCGGGCCACAGACTAGAGGCTGGACACCCAGGCAGAAAAGCAGCTCACCTTCAGGCAGCTGAGAAACGCGTTTTAGGGAAGTGAGAAGTTTAACATTACCAAGGTGCAGGTGCAGAACTAGAAGCATTTCTCCTTCCTGTCCTCTGAAGTCCAAAGACGACAGCAAAGCTACGATTCAGAGTGCTACAGCAGGGCAGTCGGTGGGGTCCCAGGATTCCATCGCCGGGCATCCTTGTTCCATTCAACACCTGAGGAGGAATCTAGATCTGGAAAGGCAAAAGGAGAGGTTTAAGCAATGACCCTGACGGAGCACCAGGGCTTCAGAGGGCCGAGCCTCTCTGAGGAACTTTCAAACAAAAGCCGAGCCCTTTCCAACTGCCCGGCCACCCGACTGCGCCCCAGGGGCAAGTCAGGAAATTCCTGGCAGGGGAAACAACTTCCCCAAACGTTGGTGAGGTGAAATGGGGAGGTTTGGGCTGGCAAACCAAGCGGCCCTTACCTTCTGATCCAGTCTCTGGTAATCGCCAGATTTGGGCCGTCGACCGCTTTTCGATCTTTTCCCTTCCAGAGCAAAAGCGATGATCTTTGTAGAGAGAGAGAGGCAGGGACAACGGGGGCAGGTCAGTAACAGCCACAGACACTTTTTCTCAATTCAAACAGAGCCAAGGACAAGCTCCACTTGCCTCCTTCTACAGGCCACATGTCATTTGAAAAAGCACTCGAAATAAACAAGTGTCATAATTTAGAAGCAGCTAAGATTGAAAGCAGGCAACAAGGAGATCTGCCTAACGTGCAGAAAAAAAGTAAGAAGCTGTTCTCCTTTTCCCCACCTCAAAAATAGCTCTGCAGGAGGGAAAAAGCAGCAGACAACAGCTCTGTCCTCTGAGCTGCGGCCCTCTGTGTGCTGCTATTTAAAGACAAGTCTTTTGCAACCTGCTACACAGAAAACTCCTCGTCAGTGAGAAGCACGGGGTAACTTCACACGTTGTTTCCTTTCCTCCTCTCCCAGCTCCATTTCTCGGAGCTCAAAATAACTGCCAGAGCTGGGGCCACCCGATTTCCATGGAGACCCACCCTCCTTGTCACAACACCCAAATTCATCCCCGAAACACGCCCCAACACCCCTCTGCTCATCCCACAGCTGCCGACGCCGGGGCTCAGATCAACGCTAACCCACACCACTCAGCGAAGGGGAGGCTTCGGCAGGAAACCAAAGACAAAAACCAAACCAGAGCAGCAGAGGGGAAAGAGCTGCAGCCGAGCACGTCCCAGACAGTCTGGCAGGAAGCTCCCAGCCCAGCAGGTGCGGTGTGGGCGAGGAGCAGAGCCACTCACCTTGCGCTTGTTGTGGTAGGCGACGTACAGGGCAGCGACAACGATGGCCGTGGTCACCAGATAGGCAAAGAAGTGGCTGTTCTCCGACTGCTCCCTGGGAGCAGTAGGGTTGCTCTTCTCCCTCTCCTTACTAACCGAGGAGCCCCCGTTGCCGTTCCCATCCCCATCCCCCTCCTCTTGGAGCTCCTCGCTGTCTGGAGAGCCTTCATTGCCAGGAAGGGGTACAGACTGTGACGATGGGTTTTTCTCTCTCTGTGAGTCTGTCTGAGCGCCCTGGCTGCTGCCTTGCTTGTTGGTGTCGCTGCTTTCCTGCCTGTTGGTGTCCTGCTGGCCTCCATTTTCCTTCATCTTTCTCTCTTCCTCAGTCTTACCATTTTGCTGCCTGCTGCTGTCTTGCCCATTTTTGCTGTTTTCCTGCTTGTTGTTGCCTTGCTGCTGGTCGTTGTTTTCCCGCTGGCCGTTGTTTTCCTGCCTGCTGCTGTCTTGCTCATGGTCCTTCTTTTTCTGCTCGTCATCTTGCTGCTGGTCCTTGTCTTGCTGCTTGTTTCTTTCTTCCTGGTGGTCACCATTTTGCTGCCCATCACTGTTTCCCTGCCTGTTGCTGTCTCGCTGCTGGTCATTGTTGTTGTTTCCCTGCTGGTCATTGTTGTTTCCCTGCCTGTTGTTGTCTTGCTGTTGGTCATTGTTGTTGTTTCCCTGCCTGTTGTTGTCTTGCTGTTGGTCATTGTTGTTGTTTCCCTGCCTGTTGTTGTCTTGCTGTTGGTCATTGTTGTTGTTTCCCTGCCTGTTGTTGTCTTGCTGTTGGTCATTGTTGTTGTTTCCCTGCCTGTTGCTCTCTTGCTGTTGGTCATTGTTGTCGTCTCCCTGGCTGTTGGTGTCATGCTGCTGTTTGTCGTCGTTGTTTCCCTGCCTGTTGTTGTCATGCTGTTGGTCGTTATTGTTTCCCTGTCCGTTGTTCTCTTGCTGCTGGTTGTCGTTGTTGTTTCCCTGCCCGTTGCTGTCATGCTGTTGGTCGTTGCTTTTCTGCTTGTTGTTGCCCTGCTCAGTGCTGTTTTTTTCCCCCTTGCTGCCATTACCATCACTGCCACCACCCGTCTGGGTTTCCTTCTCTTTCTTGGCGTCGCTGTCACCATTTTGCTGGTTTTCGCTTTCTTTTTTATCTTTGTCCTTGCGAGTGTTGCTGTCGGCACCGTTCTGGGCTTGCCCACCAGCGTTGTTGCCATGCTGCATGTGATCTTGGTCACTGGGGCTGCTGCTGCCCTGGTTCTTGGTGCTGCTGTTCTCTGGCTGTCCGTTACTGCCTCCGTCACTCGGGGGATCGCTCTGCTCCCGTTTTACCTTCCTGCTGTGCGCTGCCAACGACTCGAAGCTCTCCCCCCACGCTGGGTTCCCGCCGGGCCGCTGAGGGGCACGGGGCAGCGACCCCTCAGCGAGCGCGGAGGTGCTGCGGGCCCCGGGGAGCTCCGCGCCCAGCCACGCACCTGCAACAAGCACACAGCCCGCCGTCAGCGCCCGCAGCCACCGCAAAACCCGCCCGTGAGGCAGCCCCGGCCCGGGGGACGGAGCGGGGAGGCCCCAAGGGCCCAACCCGGGCCGGGCGCCACCGAGACCCCGTCCGCAGCCCCCCGCGGGGCGAAAAGCCGAGAGCCTGCGCGTACCCCAGCCCCCCACAGGACCCCCCCCGAGCCTCCCGGCCCGGCCCCGGCCGCCCCCGCTCACCCCCGGCCCCGGCGCCGAGCAGCAGCAGCAGCAGCAGCCGCAGCGCCATGGCAGCCCCGCTCCGAGCACCCGGCCCGCTTCCGCTTCCGGCCAGGCGGCGCCGCTTCCGGGGGGAGATCTCGCGAGAGGGAGGGCGGGGGGGAGGCGGGAGGGAGAGTCAAGAGCCGCGCGCGGGGAGGGGCGGGGCGGGGCTTGGTGTGGAGAGGGGCGGGGTTTGGATAGATGGGCGTGGTCTGTGGGCGGGGCTAATGGTAAGGGGGAGTGGTTTGTGATGTGTGGGCGTGGCTTGTTGCCTAGGGAGCAGTGGGCGTGGCTTTGTGCGGTGGGGGCGTGGCTCTGTCGGAGTGGGCGGGGCTTATCAGCCCGCGGGCCGCAGCCCGGGCCGGAAGCGGCGTTTTGGGGCCAAAGCAGCCGGTTTTGGGGCTGGTTCCCACCGGTTTTTGGGCTGCTCCCGGGCCCCGTGCAGCTCCCGGGGAATGGTGGCCACGTTGCGCTGCGCCTCCCTCCTCCGTTTCAGTATTTCTCCTGCTCGCTGCGCCCCCCCTCCAGGCACTCCTCATTTCCGAGGATATTGCCCCAAATCAGGGACGGGTCCGTGGCCAAGCCCCTCGGTGCCGTCAGCCCCCAGTGCCATGGTCCTGCTGCCATTGCCCACCACCTTCCAGCCCTGTGTTGCCTCGGCCATCCCGGGGCGCTCCGGGGTTGTCTCCTGCTGTGCGCTGACATTTTGGGGCTTTTTGGGGGGATTTGGGTAAAATAAAGAGTTCCAAATGATCTTGGGTCTTCCGTGTGTTCCTTGCTGCTACCCGGCGAGCTCAGCTGTCCCGGTGTCCGCTCGGTGTCCCTGGAGCCATCTCATCCCTAAGGCACCCTCCTGCGGTGCTGCTGAACCTTTGAGGACCGGCGACAAGTCTCCAGAAGGAACTGCCACAAATTCCTCAGCCTCCCCCATTTAACCCAAAAATACAGAAAAAACAACACAGCAGCATCCAACACGCGAAGCCAGCGAGTCCTGCGCAGCGCTAACGCTTTGGGGAATAATCCCGACTTGGCCTCGGAGCGTGATGGATGATGTGGTTGATTTTTCTTTCTTTCTTTTTCTTTTTCTTTTTTTTTTTCAGCCCACTATTCAATTCAACGCATTCCAATAATCCTCACGGCTCGGTTCTGCCCATGCCTGCCTTTCTAAGGAGACAGAAGAACAGTTGGCCCAATGCTTTTGTTGAGATTTAAAACAGACGAGCGAGGCCATTTCGCATGCCCAGCCAATTCGGCTTTCACTCACACCCCTGGAAGTCAAGAGGAACTGAACCGAGGCCAAGTTCCTCTGGATTTACAACAATGCATCTGGGAGCCGAGTTCTGCCCAAATACCGAGCGCGGGGCTGACATCAGCGCAGCGCCGGGTGGCTCGCACTAGGCTCGCTTTCCTCCGACCCTTTTCTTGAATAAAACTGGGTGAAAAGGACGCCGAGCGTGCCCGGCCCCGCGCAGCGAGGAAGAGGAGGGCTGAGGGCCGCTATCGCCATCCGCTGCAAAGCAGGAGGAGGAAATCCCCGCCGGGTCCCACCCAGCTGCTTCCCAGAGCTGCTTCCCACTTTGCAGGGAAAAGCCAAGAGGCCGAGAGCCGCCGGGACGCACGGATCCGTCCTGCCCTTGGGCACCGAGCGGTCCCCAGGCCCGGTGACATCGCGGTGCTCGGCGCTGACAAAGCCCTCACCTTGCCACAAGTGTCCTCGCCCCCTCCCCTGAGGGCTGATCCGGTCAGGATAAAGGACCGAAAGGAGAAACAATTAGCAAATGGCAGAATTTAACGATGCTAATTAAAATGTATTAAGTGTAGCCACCGCCTCTGCACCAGCTGCTTTGGCAGGAGCCTGGAGCCCGCCGAGCGCCGGCCTTGCCCCGGTGCGGAGCGGGGAAATGGGACATCTGGTGTGCCCCCCCCGGCCCCTCGCGAGGAGTGGGCTCGAGGAAGCCTTTGCTTCGTTTGCTGCTGCTCGCCGGGTTCGCGGCGGAGCCCCTAATTAGCTCCATCTCTGCAGGAGACCCCTGGGACCTCATTAGGCATTTCAATTAGTGAATAGCCAGAGCTGCGTCGGGAGAGGGGGCTGGGGGCCGTTGGATCAAGATGGCTGCAATTAGGCAAGCGGGCGGAGGTGCCAGAAGTAACCCCGCTTCCCAAAATAAAATAAATAAATAAATAAAGAGAAAGCAGGGAAAGCACCAAGCTGGCTCCCAGATGCTCCCCGTGCGCTCACCGGAGCTCTCCGAGAAGTTTGCTGCCGAGCTCTCGACGAGGCGTTCGCCAGCTCCCAGCGGGACGACACAACGACTGCAGCGAGACCAGGGAAAAACGTCACCCTGGTGGCGAGGGGACGGGAGGGACGCGCTGCCCTCATCCAGCGCCCGGTGGCATCTGGAGCCAAAACGGGGACAGCAGCAGGGTCACCATCCCGGGGACGCGGTTATGGGATGCAGTTGGGATGTGTGACAAAAAGCAGCCTGCAAAGGGGTGGATGCCTTGTGTTTTCAGGGGAACAAAGGGAACAAAATCGGGACTCTTTGGCCCCAACCTTGGGTTTTGTTTTGTTTTTGTCACAAGTTCAGCAAGTGAATTCTCTTCAGGGGGAAATAGCGCGGGAGCGCTGCCCGGCCCCTGTGCCCAGCTGGATCTCGGCTCCCAGCTCGGAGGACGCGTTGGGCATCGGCAGAAATACAGCCCAAAAATTGTCCCAAAAAGAGGAGGGGGGCTACAGGCCCCTTTGCCGCAGCAGCACAAACAAACACGCCCCCCTTCCTGCCACAGCCGAAGCCCAGAATTCTTCTCATTGAAGCGCCTCCAAGAGGACGAAAAACCTTTGGCATTTTTCTGCGCGTTTTCTCTCACGTTTTCACCCAGCCCCATCGCTGCAAGCGTGACGAACGTGCGGATCCCCCGAGCAGCCCGGTTTAACAGGAGAGGTTTAACAGGAGAGGTTTAAACAGGAGAGGTTTAAACAGGACGGGCTGCTTCAGCGTGCTCGTCTGAGCCCGAGCAGAGTGTAACCGGTCTCCTCCTCGTCTCCCCCTCGTCTTGGGGAGGAGCAGAGCCACGAGGGCTCTCCTGGGCCGCGGCGGCCACTTGCTCCTCTTCCAGCAGGGCTAATCCCAGCCCAGCCCAGCTCAGGAGCACGGCGAAAGCGTCGGAACAGATGTTCCTTTTCTGTATGGGAAAATGCCGAGTAAAACAAAGAAATATTCTCCTGCTGAAGACCAACATCTGTTTGAAGCTGTCTGGCTCCGGTTCAGACTTTAATTCTTGTGACAGGTCTCTTCATGCCTTTAATTTCCCATGAAATCTAATTCAAGAAGTTGTTTGTCTGCTGCCTGCTCCCGGTGTTGGGGAGAGCGAGGCCGCATGCGATCCAGACGTTCCTTGCAGAAAACCAGTTTTTTGGAACGGCCTTTCTAAAAAAAGCCCCGTTTTGCCTCTTTTCAAATGATGGCCCCGCACGTTTTCGGCGACACCCTAATCCCCTCAGTTCTGGAGCTCGCACGGCCGCACGACACGCTATCAGGATGCCATCAATTAAAGCGTCGTGGCCGGTCCTCCGGGGTGCTGCTGCGGAGGCATGGTGCCCAAGCCCATTTCCGAGTTTGTTCTTCGAAAGCGAAGTGTTTAAACAATTTTTCACATGGACTGGAAATGCCTCCCGAGTCCGGGGCTGTCTTGGGTGCGAGGGTGAATGGAGATGCTCCTGGCACCTCCTCGCGCTTGGAGGCTTTGGTGGTGGCCACCTGGTGAGCAGGAGCTGGGGTTGCTGCAGGCTCCTCTCGCTGCTTGAGGCTCCTGGCGAGCCGGGCCCCCTTAGAGCAGGGATCTGGGGAGCTTCCAGCCAGCTCTGAGCTGGGGCTGGCTGCAGATTGAAGCTGTTGCTGAAGATGATCCTCAGCTGGACGCGAGGAGCTGTGCTCCTGCTCTCAGTGTTCGCAGGACACATCTGGAGCTGCCACACGGCCACAGGAGGTGCCGTTTGCCCCAGTGCTCATGCAAGCGCTCCGGAGTGGCCCCGTCCTGTTTTCTTGTCTGCTCCCGTAGCTGAGGGCATCCATCAGCCCTGGTAGTCCTGCCCAGCCGCAATCCGTGCACGGGAGCTCACAAATCCAGCCGTCATCTTCTGGGGCCACAGCTGCCAGCACCATCCCAGGGCGCGCACCCATCCTGCACGACCTCTGGCGAAGGCGGGCTGTCTGCCTTTCCCTTGAGGACCAAGACACACGAGGACAGTCCCCTTTCCTTTCACCCGCAGGTGGGTGTCCCCTGCTGCTCCAGCTGGCTGCAGACGCTTCCTCGGCGGCATCCCGGATGGCTCAGCACTGGAAAGAAGAGAAATGTCACAACGAGAGGCTACGGCAGTGTTTATTCCACCAAAACCATCAAAAGCCTCCTGGGCAACCTGTGTGGGCAGGGGGCAAGGACCAGGCGGCCCCCAGAGGTCCCCCAAAACCCCAACCATTCGGTGCCGCGGTGGGAAGCACCCACCGAGCCGAGGACTGGTGCCATGGAGGACACGGCGGTCCCCATAACGCAGCTGCTGGAGGTGGAACGGGCCCCGGGAAATGGAAATCGGCCAAAAAATTCAAAGAGGGGAACAAAATCGGACTGTAAGCACCACGGGTCAGCTTTGGGCAGACACTGCTCAGAATCAGATCTTCAACAGAAAACTGAGTCGTGACTTTGAGCAGGAAAACTCTGAGATAGATTTTATTCCCATTAAAAAGACAACGAGACAGAATAGCTTGATTAGCTCAGATGCTGAACTGACCAAGAACTCGAGATGGGTTGAAAATTCATTGGATCACCCCAGGCTGATTTCGAGCTGCGTCCCATGTGCATCCTGATGGGTTTTCATTCCTGGCTGGGAGGAATCAGGCGCAGGGCACCCCACAGCTCCTGGCCATACAGTACACACGGCCAGCAGCCAGCTCGGCTTCCCAGGCACCCCAAAACCTGATTTAATCTGATTTACCTGGTGCCCCACGTCCTGCTGCCCACATCTCTCCATGCTGCCAGCTTGCTCCATCGCGGGTTTGTGGCGAACACCCCAAAACCTGCCTGATGATGTTTCGGGGTGCTGCTTTTGGGCTTGGGGCCACGCTTGGCCCCGTGGCCAGCCCTGCTGGAGCCGTGTCCCGAGCCGGTTCCCGGGGCACGGCGATGCTCGAGCGCCAGCAGGGCGAAGGTGGAGAGGGGCAGGGAGCGAGCGCCTCCCCCACTGACCACGCGCACGCAGCAAGTTGCAGCTGTAGTTTTATTTCCTTTTGTGAAAAACAACAGGGATTCAAGGGGAACCCCCCCGCACGCACACACGGGGGGCTCAGCCCCGGATCATGCCCACCGCGGCACCACCGCGGCACGGAGCGGGGCAGGAGCTGCGGGACGGGAGGGCTGGGAGCAGCCGGAGGCACCGGGTCAGTGCCCGGCGTTTCGCTTCTGCCCCCGGGACCGAGCGCCGCGTTCGGCGTCTTTCCATCGTCGGCACCTTGAGTAGGGTCTTTCCTTTTTTTAAAAAAAACCTTTTTTTTTTCCTTTTTTTTCCTTTTTTTAATAAAAACGGTCTTTAGGTCGACTGCCGACAGCAGCTCTGAGCAGAAAAGCACCTTCCTCCAGAGTCTGCTTCCAAAAAAAAAAAAGAGTTCAGAAAAGGGTCAAATATTGACCAATAATGGTTTGGCTGCATTTGAATCTTGATTGTGGCTTCTGCAACGTACAGCAGGGAGGGGGCGGCCGGGCCGGGTGGGGGGCGAGCCCCCCCCTTTAGTCAGCCGGTTTGGTGACCAGGGAGAGGGGCTGCGTCTGCAGCACGGCCAGGGCAGCCTGCGGGGACGGCGCGAAGGACGGAGGCGAGGAGAGGAGAGCCGTGGAGGGCACCGAGGTGAAGGGGATGGGTCTGGAGAGGAGCGAGGGCGGGCTGCCGAGGCTCGAGGAGGAGGAGGAGGAGGAGGAAGAGGAGGAGGAGGAAGAAGAGGAGGAGGAGGAAGAGGCGGCTTTGCCCGAGAGGAAGGCGAGCTGAGCCCTGGCCTCCGGCTTGGTGGTGAGCGAGAGCGGCTGAGCCTGTTCCGAGTGGGTGGCAGCCGGGGCGGCCGGGGAGGCCAGGGCGGCCGACGGCGTGGCGGGCGAATCCAGCATGCTGCCATGGGACGAGGCAGGGCTGTCGCAGGGCTTCTCGGCCGGCAGGTACTGCACACACGGCTTCTTGCTCTTGGAGGCCAGCGCGCCTGCGGGGGACGGAGGGGGCCGTGAGGCACCGGCAGGCCGGGCGCCGCGGCTCTGGCCGCCCGGGGGGTACTCACTCTCCGTGTCGTGGCTTTGCTGCTGGGCCAGCTTTTCTCGCTTCCTCTTCTTTTTCTTGCCCTGAAATTATTAGAAAGCCCCCATGCGGCGTTCCGCAGCCAGAGAGGGGGCGCTTCCATGTCTGCCGGGGAACAAAACCCCGAGGGGAACCGGACTGGTGGTGCCACAGAGCAGCCCCGGGGACTCGGCACCGTTGCTGCCACCCCCGGCACCCCCCCAGCCACCAACCCGGGGGCCGCACTTACGTAGTTGTCCCGCGCGGACCACGTCGGGTAGAGCTGCGAGTGCAGCTGCCGCTCCTTCCGTGCCAGCTCGTAGTACTTCGCCTGCTCCTCCCGCGACAGCGAGTGCCACTGCGGGGGGGGGAAGGAAAAAAGCACGGTGTGAACCCCGGGGCTGTGCAGCCAGCCCCGGGGACACGCGGCCACGCTCGCCCCAGCCACCTCGTGGCCATCGGGGTCCCCACCACCTCCCCAGGACCCCTGCCAAGGGCGGGTGGTGCCCCAGGATGAGGCACCAAGGCGCTGAGGGAGGTGGTGGAAAGGGGGCCAAAAGCCGATGGGTGGCTCGGGGAAGGAGAGGCCGTACCCGCCTGCCCAGGATCTGGTTGATGGCTGCGCTCTCCTTCAGCGTGCACTCGGCCACCACCTTGGCCCTCATCTCCTTCATGTACAACATGAAGGCGTTGAGCGGCTTCTTGATGTGGGGCTTCTTCTCCTCCTCCTTCTTCACAGTGACCGGGGATTTCCTGCGGCGAGCGGGGCAGGGGTCAGGATCGGGGTGGACGTGACCCCATCCCCGTCCCCGTCCCCGGGGCCACCCCTTCCCGTCCCCACTCACGAGCTGCCGCTGGGGCTGGCGCTGGGCTGGGCGGGTTCCTGCTTCACGATGGGCGAGACGATGGTGGGGTGCGGGATGCCCGAGGGGTGCAGCCCGTGGGCGGGCGGCGGGACCATGTGCGGGGAGAAGCGGCTGGACATCAGGCTGCAGCGGGGGGAGCGGGAGCCCCGTCAGCTCCCCATGGGTGCCAAAAACTTGGTTCCACCCCAAATCCTCCCGAGAACCTCAGGAGGAGGTTATGGGAACACCAGCTCCAACCTGCCTGGGGGCTGCTTTCACGTGAGAGCCCACCCGTGTTGGCAGCGTGGATCCCAGCCCGGGGGGACACCACTCTTCACCCATGGGGACCACCCCCAGGTATTTCTGGCCACGGAGGCCACCGCAGCCTCGGGGCCAGGCTGTACCCACGTGGAGGTCAGCGAGCACCCACGGCCAGTGCTGCTGCAGCCCCGAGTCCCACGTGGTCCTCAGGAAGTGGCCAAAACCCTGCACCAGCTTGGGGACACCCAAGGGGGGTCTCTTGTCCCTGCCAAGAGCCACCTGGATGTGGAGACGCACCTGGACACGGGGACCCACCTGGACATGGAGGCGTTCATGGCGAGGGCTGGGTAGGGGTGCCGAAAGCCACCGGGGGGGATGGAGTACACGGGCTGTCCCTGCCTGCAAACACACGAGCTTGAGCAGACAGAAGCAGGAATAAGCGTCCTTCCCCCAGCCCCGGGGACCCTCAGCCCAGCCCCAGCCGATCTTGGTCCCAAAAATTCACAATTTGCGACTCCCAGCAGGAAGGAGCCCCCGTTCCCAAGCCCTGAGCCCATCCTTACTGCGGCACGAGCCAGCCCAGCGGGTGCGGGATCTGGCCCACGGCTCCTGGCGACAGCGGGTAGTAGGGGGGCAGCTCGGGTGGGTGGGGCGGCCGCGGGATTCCTGCGGTGGCAGCGGGGGGCAAGGGGAAGCAGCGTTAGAACACGGGCACGGCGGTGCCGGGCACCCCATGACCCCCCCTGCACCCATCTCCATCCCAGCACCCATCTCCCTGCGCCCATCTCCCCTCCAGCACCCAGCACCCTCCCTGCACCCCTCTCCCCCCCCAGCACCCACCCACCCCCCTTTTTCCTCACCCGTCTTTGGGTCGATCTCGGGTGAGAGGTGGCCGGGTGGTGAGCCCGGCGAGAAGTGGTCGTTGCTGTAGGTGATGAGCGGCGTCAGCGGGTGCATGTGGTGGGCGTGCTGCACCACCGGGACCTTGTTGGACTGCGGGGCAGCGAGGGGGAGCACGTGGGAGGGCGAAAACCAAAAAATCCCCCCCCAAAATAAACACCTGCAGGCACCAGACCAGCATCGTGCCCAGCTTTGGAGCGCGGCTCTCCCCGGGGACCCGCGTGGTGGCACGGGGCCGCTCTTACCAAGTGCGCGGGCGATGGCGAGCGGCTGTCCTTGAGCGTGGCACCGGCCGGCACGTCCAGCAGCGGCCACTTCATCTGCAGGTACTGCAAGAGAGCCAGGGGTCACGGCGCCCCCCAGCCCCGAAACACCCCCCAGCCCTCGGCCGGGGTCACCCTGACCCAGGGGGACACCGCGGGGTGGTGGCGAAGGCGGTGTGGGGGTGCCTGGGGCTGTTTCAGCCCCTGTAAATAGTGCGGAGCCCTGTTATTAATAGTGGAGCCCTGGATCCCTTCCACCCGACCCCAAAAGCAGATTTTGGGGCCAAAGGCACAGCGCTGCTGGTGTGAGCCGCCACCGCCCCATGGGCGCACTGCGGGCACGGGGCTGCGTGCGGCTGCATCTGGCGCACCGAGCCGGCACCCGGCCTCGCTCCCTCGCATCCTCCCTTCCTCATATCCTCACATCTTCCCTTTCCCTTCCTATCCAGCCCCAAATCACAAGGGAAAGGCACAGAACCGCCGCAAGGGCCGGCGGGGCAGTGAGCACGGCGGTGCGTTTCGGCTGCCCCCTGCCCGCCCGTAAACCTGGCTGCAGGACGAGCGTTTTGCCCCGCTCCGTTCCCGGCACGGGACCTAAGCGGCCCCCCAAAGAAAGGTGCATTGTGCTGCGTTTTTCGGCTGCGGGGGGGGGGGGGGTGAAGGCATTTCCCGGCAGCCGGCTGCGGGGAGGCACGTCCCGCGAGATGCCAGGGCTGGGGAATGCGGCCGGGACGGGCCGCAGCTGCGCGCAGGAATTTCCCCACCGTACAAACCTTCCTGATCCGAAGCAGCTGGAAGGAAAGCCCAGCTCGGAGCGAGGAGCTGCGGGGAGCGTTAACTCTTCCGCCTCTGGAAAGATGCATCCCCGCCTGCATCGCCTCCCGCAGCCCCCCCAAAGTGCTCCGTGTGCCCCCCCCCCGGCATCGCCTCCTGCCTTGCCCCTGCCTCCAGCATCCCCCCGCATCCCCCAGCCCCTCCTGCATCGCCCAGCACCTCCAGTACCGCTTCCTGCTCCCCTCCCACATCGCCAGCATCCCCCGCCATCCCAGTAACCCCTATTTCCAGTACCTCCCCCATCCTCAGTAACCCCCATCCCCAGTAACCCCCATGCCAGTACCCCCCCCTTCCACAGAAAACCTCATCCCTGTACCCCCCCATGCCCAGAAACCCCCATCCCAGTACCTCCCCATCCCCAGTATCCCCCCCATCCATCCCCAGTACCCCCCACATCTCCAGTACACCCCCCCATCCCCAGTACCCCCCCCATCCCCAGTACTCCCATCTCCAATCCCCCACTCCATTCCCAGTACCCCCCTATTTCCAGTACCCCCATCCCCAGTACCTCCCCATCTCCAGAGCCCCCCCCTCCATCCCCATTACCTGCCCATCCCCAGTACCCCCATCTCCATTCCCAGTACCCCCCTATTCCCAGTACCCCCCTATTTCCAGTACCCCCCATTCCCTGCATTCCTCCCCTCCATCTCCACCCCCCCATCCCCAGCACCCCCCAGCATCCCTGTGTGCCCTGGTTCTGCCAGCGCCCTGGCAGCACTGGCACTGCCCGCCGGGATCCCAGAGCCACGGTGAAAATCCCGCTGGCACAGCCGGGAGTCACCCAGGGAAGGCTAAAGCAAGAAGGGAAGTACCCAAGGTGTCAATTTGCCATTTATCACTGGATTTTGGAAGGAGCCATTGGGGTTTTGCTGCCAAGCCAGACCCCAAAAAGATGCATGAAATACCAGCAGCTGCTGCACAGCCCCAAAAAAGCCCAAAGCGAGGATTTCCCAGGGTCTGACCATTCCCACAACTGCTGGCACAGGGGATCCCCCCTAAAACCTGCCCGTGCTTTGCTTCAACACCTGGAGCCGGCGCCGCGTGGTGCTGCAGGGATGCTCCGGGAGCAGCCTTCCCCGCTCCCAAAACCTCCACGCACTCTCCCTTGGGGAGATTTGGGGCTGCGGGATTTTCCCCACCGGGATGCGACAGCGGAGAGCCGGGGCCGCCGGCACTGGGAGCCGTAACCAGATCCGCTCCTAAAAAGGCCGCCGGCGGAGGCGGCCGGGGCGCCGTGCGCGCGCGGAGCACGCTTGGTATGCGGGCGGCCCCGTGGCCGGCGCGGGCTCGCGCCGTGACCCGCGGTACACCCTGCGCCGCCAGTACAGTAGGAGCCGTTTCCTGAAGCGCTGGCTTTGATGCGCCCTCCAAATCTCGGTGATCAAAGCTGCCGGGCTGCGGCGGGGAAGTCCCGGGGTCTGGCTGCCGTACAACTCCGCGCTGCTTCCAAACAGCCGCGCGCCGCCGTGCCGCGCGCCTCCGAAGCTGCGGCGTCGCGTGGCCGGATTTAAAGCTAGGGACGCGGCCCCGCAGCCGTGCCGGGGTGATGCTCCAGGTGCCCCGAGTGTCCCCAGGGCCGTGCTGGGACAGCGCACGAGGTGCCCTCGTATCCCCGTAGCTGGAAAGGGGCAAGGCACGAGGTGCCCTCGTATCCCCGTGACTATGCCAGAGCAATGCGCGAGGTGCCCCAACATCCCCACAGCCATGCTAGGGTGACAAAAAAGGTGCCCCAACATCCCCCAAAACGCATTGGGGTGACACACGAGGTGCTCCAGTATCCCCAAAACCATCCTGGGGTGACACACGAGGTGCCCCAACACCCCCACACCAAGCCAAGTGACACGGGAGGTGCTCCAACATCTCCACAGACTGGGGTGACGCAGAAAGTGCCCCAACATCTCCAAGAACATGTTGGGGTGACAAATGAGGTGCCCCAACATCCCCACAACCATGCTGGGATGATATATGAGGTGCTCCAACATCCCCACAACCATGTCAGTGTGACACATGAAGCGCCCCAACATCCCCATAACCATGTTGGGGTGACACACAAGGTGCCCCAGTGCCCCCCTAACCATGTTGGGGTGACATACGAGGTGCCCCAACACCCCCACAACCAAGCCCGGTGACATAGGAGGTGCCCCAGCATCCCCACAATCACGTTGGGGTGACACATGAGGTGCCCCGACATCCCTACAAACACATCTGAGAGACACATGAGGTGCTCCAACATCTCCACAACTATACTGGGGTGACACAGAAAGTGCCCCAACATCCCCACGAACACATTTGGGTGACACACGAGGTGCCCCAATGCCCCCCTAACCATGTTGGGGTGACACACAAAGTGCCCCAACACCCCCATGGCAGTGCCGGGGTGACACACGACCCGTCCCCACGTCCCCACAACCAGGCGCAGGGTGACGCAGGGACTGCCCTGAGCACCCTCCCACCCAACCACTCCAGGGGCACCCAGGGGACACCCAAGGGGTGTCCGGGGCGAAGGCGCGAGGTGCCCCGCCGCCGTGCCGGGGTGACGCAGGAGGTGCCCCGACATCCCCGGGGTGACGCAGGAGGTGCCCCGCGCATCCCCGGGGCCCCGGTGGGCGTCTTTCGCTCCGCCTCGCCACCCCCCTGCCCGCTGCCCCCCATCACAAAGGGGGCTTTCTCGTCTATTCTGTAAGCGGAGAAGCCGCTGGGGGACGGCGGCTCGGGAAAGGCCGTATATAAAAGGCTGCTTCTCATTTTGAAGCCGTTTTCAGGAGGCCGGGGAGGGGAGAGGAAGGGGGACCCTTTCAAAATATACAAAGAGGGGGGAGCTGGCGAACGGTTCAGTGGTAATGTGGAAAAATGAAGCCCCCCCCCCCCCCCCCCCCAAGGCCCCAGCCGCGGACACAGGCTCCCACTGTACCACCACGTGCGGGAGCCGCGCAAGAGCGGCAGATTGGAGCTATTAAAAAAAAAAAAAAAAAAAAAAGGAGGAAATAGTTGAAAATCGGTCACATTCCAGAGAGATTAGAGCAAGTTCTGGTTCCTCGTTACACACCCCCCCCCCCAATTAAAACCAGGGGGGTTAACCCCTTTCCTGCCGGAGCTGCGGACCACACAATGAGCCCTCCTGTCTGCCTGTCCCCGCCCCGGGGAGGGCGAGCCCCGCGGCTGGAGTCAGGGGCTGGGGGCCCCGGGGGGCCGCGCCGTGTGGTGGTGGTGGCAGCAGCTCGCCTGCATGCTCGGGGAGAGGCACAAACGCTGCGGGATCCCCTATAATGCCCAATTAGGGGCTTATGAGCGGATTTCCTCTCCTCTTCCGCACACGGGGCTCCTTCCCGGTGAGATGTTTTCCTTGGAAAGGGGGAAGTGGGGAAAAGCCCCCAAGATGGTGCAGTGCATCGCGGTGTCCTGCACCCCGGCGTTGTGTGTCCCAGCACTGCACATCCCGCTGGTGCACGTCCTGGCACTGCGCATCCCGGTGTTGTAGCTCCCAGTGCAGCACGGCCGAGGGCTGCAATACCCTGGTGGTGCAATAACCCGGTGGGGTTACAAATCCCAGCAGTGCCGTGTCCTGGTGCTGTGTGCCCGGTGCTCTGCGTCCTGGTGCTGAGCTTCCTGGCATGGTGCTTCCTAGTGCTGTGCGTCCTGGTGCTGTGCGTCTGGTGCTCTGTGTCCTGGTGCTCTGTGTCCCGGTGCTGTGCGTCCTGGTGCTCCATGTCCCGGTGCTGCGTGTCCTGGTGCTCTGTGTCCCGGTGCTGTGCGTCCCAGCATCGCTTCTCCCAGGATTTCCCATCCTCCTGCTGCAGGTCCCGGCGTCCTCTCGGGTTTCCCATTACACATCCTGGTCGCAGCGTGTCCTGGCATCGTGTCCTGACATCCCGCATCCTGATGCGCGTCCCAGCACCCCAGGGCTCCTCTCCATGGGACTCAGCTGCCACCAGCCTCTCATTTGGGGAGAGAAAATGTCTGTTTGGGGCCCAAACATCAGCCCTCAGCTGTTGTTTTTTTTTGTGGGGGAAAGCTGTCTGAAGGCTCCAAGGGCAGAAAACCCCACAGTGGATTTAACCGTGCACGGAGACGAGCCTGCAGGCCACTGGATGCAGGCGATGCCGGTACCCCACCCGGCCACCTCGCCCCCATGCCCAAAGCCCCCGGGTGAGCCATAGAAGCACCAGAGGATCCCCTGACACCACCCAGCCACGGGACCCCCCCCCATCCCGAGGCCTCCCCCCCCCCTTTTTCCCAGCACCAAATTCCTTGGCGCTCGCAAAGCTGGCGGGCTCGGCGAGCCGGAGCGCGCCCCCGCCGCAGCCCCCAAGCCCTCCTCGCTCCCAGCCTGTTTACACAGCTGCGGGATAACTGACAGCTCGCCCTCCCCCCAAAACGCCTCCGCTCCAGCCCTTTTTCCCCCAAAACGCGTGCCGAAACCACGCTGCAGGAGAAGGAGAGGACTGAGCAGCAGGCAGCAAGCCGCTTTGCGCGGGGTGCTGAACAGAGCCCCCCTAAATCTCCGTAGGGGTCTTTGTGGCTTGGGTTTTTATCCATGGGATGCTCTGGTCCCACCACATTCCCAGTTCCCAGTGCTGGGCAGCTGGGCTAAAACCAGCCAAATTCGGCTCCACCAACACACGAGGGATTTTTCCAGGGAAAGGGGTTTTCTGCGCTGAGAGCCACCAGGCCAAGGGCGGCCTCGTTGCCCCTCATTCCCTTAACGCCTCTCCCAAGAAGCAAAAAGCTGCAAAAGCCCCAAACCTCCTGAAGCCTGGAGGGTGCTGCCAAGGAGGTTTCAGAGCAGAGCTGTGGGGATGGCGCCTGCAGCCGCTGTGCCTGAAAAATGGGGCAAAAAAGGGACAAAACCATCCCGCTTGAAGGCAATCATGGGATGGGGGAAGCTACAGCAAGTCCCACACGGGGGGAAATCTCATTTAAATGCCCCAAAATCAGCTGGCATCAGCATCCATGCCAGGCTTCCAGTGTTCACCCCGTGCAGAGCTAGCACTGCAGCTGCGCTTTGGGGAAAATGCAGAAAACTCAGGGAAAAGGGCCCCAGGGCACGGTAATTCCACATTTTGTTTGTATTTTGAGCATGTCCTGCGTGGGACACGCCAGGCTCTGGTGGTTCTGCAGGTTGTAAAGCTCAGCGTGTTGGGAAACACTGAAAAAATCTTGGTAAACACGCTTGGAAGATGCTGGA